CAGTAGCAGGACGCAGCGAGGAGGAGTGAGGAGCACGGCGGAGCCGACCCTCGACGCAAGGCGTGCACGGTGGCGCAGTCGAGGGAGGAAGGGCAGGGAGCGACGCGGGGAGACCTAAGACAAGACCGTGCTGGGACATGTGACGCAGACGCGGGAGAGCAGGGTGACCTAAGCGGTGGTGCCAGAGAAGGGAGGGGTGAGTGAGGGACCGACACGAGCAAGCTGCAGCGACCTGGGAGGACGCACCAACCGGGGGGGAAGCGGTGTGTAGGGTAAACAGACCGGACAGCGGGTCCCGGGGGAACGTCGCAAGGGGGGAACCTGAGACAGCCTCAGAACAGACAGCGAACCGCTCGTGCCCGGGGAACGTGGTGGTGACGCCGAGGTCCTGGAGACAGCCGACACCAACCAGGTTCCTGGAGAACGAGGGAACGTGGAGGCCAGTAAGGGAGCCCGAGGGAACTGCCGGACAAGGAAGGGACGTAGAACTGCGCGCGACGACCGGACCCGCAGAGGGGTCAGCGAGAGAGACAACAGCAGGTGCAGCAAGCGGCGTGAGCGTGGAACGGTCGCGGAAGAAGCAGGCAGAAGCACCAGAGTCGAGAGTGAAGGACAGCGACGCAGTGGCGGAGGCCGGGGACGGAGCCGGTGCAGCGACTAGACTAGGCAACCTAGGCAGTCCTACGCCTGTCGCAGCAGGGGAAGCTAAGCTACACAAGGGTGAAACACCTAAACTAGAGTACACAGGGTAGTAAGATACAGCAACACTAGAAGCGTCAGCATACAAAGCATGCAAAGCAGCACCTATCTGATCCATGTCTAACTCAAAGATCGGCACGCCCTGGCGGAGTAGGCTGTGCCAGTCAGGGAGGTCCGGGGCCGGGCCAAAGCGACGACGAAAAAGATCGTCGAGGCGGCGGAAACAGCGGGCGGTCGGGTGCGGGCGGCGGCACAGAGTGCCGCGGAGAGGCCCGGTCTGAAGCTGGTACTGGCAGGTCACAGCACTGGAGCCGCTGGTAGACGCCAAGCTGCGCGGGCCGCCACCACGGCCACCGCCTCCGGAGGTGCCGGGCCAACCAGGCGGGAGACGAGCCCACGGCTGCGGCGGGTGCTGCTGGGACGGCGGCTGCGGCTGGGGCTGGTCCTGCTGCTGCTGGGGCTGCTGCTCCTGCCCACCGGTGGTAGTCCCCTCAGGCGGACTACCGTCACCACCACCACGACCACTACCACCTGCGTCACCACCCCTACCTCCCTGGCGGCCACGACCACCGCAACGCGAGCGCTGCTGCGGGTGGACAGCAGCAGCCGTCTCGGTAAGAGGGGTCGCCGTGGCGACCGCAGCCGAAACGTCAGTGAACGTGCACTGGGATGGGGCACAGCCGTGAAAGATAGAGACTGCCGGCGCACCGCTCGACTGAGCGATAGTGCGCTGGCGAGTCTCGATCTCAGTGAGGGTGTCGACAAAGGCGGTCAGGGTGAGGTCACCCGGGTGCTGGCTAAGAAAGTGGTCGCGAGCACTAGCGAGGCGGTCTGGCAGGCGCATAGCGATAAAATAGAGCGTCATGCAGAAAGGAAGGGGGAGCGCAGTGAGCTGGGCAGCAGTGCTGGCAGTGCGATAGCGAGTCGCTAGGGCACGCAAATGAGTGGCAAAGTCTGCGACAGTAGGGAAGGCAGCCAGGTCTGGGAACAGCATCGGAAAGAGCAAGCGGCCAGCAGAAGCGGAGGCAGGGGTGGAATAGCGAGCAATAACGGCGTCTAAATAAGCTTTGGCCGTTTCAACAGTAGCAAAACGCGAGCGCTCAGACACAGGGAGGGCGTGACTAATAGCAACCTGAGCTACTGCATCGCGTGAGTCCCAGACCGCACAGGCCAGCGCAGCAGTAGAGAAAGCCTCACGGTCATCAGAGGAGGGGTCAGCAGGGAGGGGAGTAGGTGCAGGGGGACGGGGGAGCAAGCCATCAGCATGGACAACCAGAGAGTGGCCATCCTGACGCTGACCTGTAAGCTGGCGGCGGAGATCGGAGAGCCAGGCGGCGAAGTCAACCGCGTGGCCCTCAGCGTCCAGGCGGAGCACAAAGTCAGCCATCGTGCAGGGTCAGCGGCACAGCTCCTCAGCGACACAGCGGCACAGCAGCACAGCTCCTCAGCGGCACAGGAGCACAGCGGCGCGGGGACACGGCGGCAGCACTCTCCAGTAGGGCAGCAGCTAGGCGTCCCAGCGCAGGCGAGCAGAAGACACAGGGCCCGAGAGGACACGGCAGGCCGAGCAGGGGAGGCGGGCAGGTGCTCTGGGGCCGGGCTGGTGCTGGGAGGGGCCAGGCTGGTGCTGCTGGGGCCGGTCGGGCACGAGGAGGGGCCGGGCAGCGCTGAGGAGAGGCCGGGCGGCGCTAGGAAGGGGCCGGGCGGCACTAGGAGGAGGCCGGGCGGCACTAGGAGGAGGCCGAGCGGCACTAGGAGGCCAGGCAGGCGAGCGCTAACAGCAGGCGCGACAGGGGCCAGCGGGCGCGACGAGGCCTAAGGGGCGCGACGGGGCCCAGCGGGCACGACGGGGCCCAGGGGGGGCGCGACGGGGCCGAGGAGGCGCGACGGGGACCAGCGGGCACGACGGGGCCCAGGGGGGCTGCGACGGGGCCTAACGGGCGCGACGGGGCCCAGGGGGGGCGCGACGGGGCCTAGCAGGCGCGACGGGGCCTAGGAAGCGCGAAGGGGCCCAGCGGGCGCGACGGGGCCTAGGAGGCGCGACAGGGCCCAGCGGGCGCGACGGTGCCCAGAGGGGGCGCGACGGGGCCTAGGAGGCGCGACGGGGCCCAGCGGGCACGACAGGACCTAGGAGGGGCGCGACGGGGCCGAACGGGCGCGACGGGGCCCAGAGGGGGGGGGACGCGACGGGGCTTAGGAGGCGCGACGATGCCTAGGAGGCACGACGGGGCTCAGCGGGCTCGACGGGGCCCATGGGGGGCGCGACGGGGCCTAGGAGGCGCAACGGGGCCCAGCGGGGGCGCGTTAGGGCCTAGGGGTCGCGACGGGGCCCAGCGGGCGCGACGGGGCCCAGGGGGAGCGCGACGGGGCCTAGGAGGCGCGACGGGGCCCAGCGGGCACGACGGGGCCCAGGGGGGGCGCGACGGGGCCTAACGAGCGCGACGGGGCCCAGGGGGGGCGCGACGGGGCCTAGGGGGCGCGACGGGGCCTAGGAGGCGCGACGGGCGGAAGCGGTAGGCGGGGGGATCCTAACCTAAGCGTAGAAACGAATGATTACTAGAGGTGGAAACCTAGAACAAATACTAGTTGGTTGTACTCACTAGAAGCATACCTCAGTCTAGCCTATAACTTCTACATAGATAATATGTATAAGTTGACAGCAGCCTACACGAGCAGGTCTACCTGCGCCGACCACAGGGCTTCACTTGTACCTTCCCCCCTGGGACCCAGTGGCTTCTCAGGCGCCCGGTCTACGGCCTGCGCCAGGCTCCCCGCAAGTGGCACAACACGCTGCGTGCCACGCTAGCAAACCTGCAGTTCTTTCCCCTCGCTTTTTGTGTGTTCTGGCCAGACTCCGTTCTACAACCTTGTCTACGTAGACGACCTGGTCTTTGCTACTGCTGACTGGGACGCACGGGCCTTAGTGAAGGCCGAGCTTCTGAAGAGACACACCTGCTCTGACCTTGGAGAGCTGCGTTGCTATCTTGGCCTGCAGATATCCAGGGACAGAGCAGCACGCACCATCACTCTGACACAGTCACACTTGGTGCGTCAGGTCCTTCAGAGGTTCGGTCTTCAGTTCTCCTCCGCACAGCCCACACCTCTACCTGTAGACCATGGGCTCTCCGCTCACGTTCCTGAGGAGCCAGTAGAGCCCAGCGGCCCCTACGCAGAGCTGGTGGGTCGACTCATGTACCTGATGACTTGCACTCGCCCAGATCTCGCATACCCTCTCAGCATCCTGGCTCGCTTTGTGGCCACCGGCAGACACTGACCATAGCACTGGTCGGCCGCTAAGAGGGTTTTGCAAAATCTAGCAAGTACATCAGGCATGGGGTTAGTGCTTGGAGGACGCAGGCCAGTGGTCCTCACTGAGCACACAGACGCTTCTTGGGCAGACGACGCTGAGACTCTCAGGTCGTCGCAGGGCTACTGTTTTAGCCTTGGTTCGTGTGTTATCTCGTGGAGATCCACTCGCTCCTCGTCTGTTGCTCAGTCCAGCTGTGAGGCTGAGATCTAGTGCCATGGCGGCACAGGAGCTCCGCTGGCTGACCTTCTTGCTCACTGACTTAAATGAGCGGCCTAGCTCTGCCCTGGTCCTGTACGCTGACAACAGGGCCATGATTCTCCTATGTCATGAGCCTCGACTTGAGGGCAGAGCGAAGCATATCCAGCTGCGGTACTTCCTCCTGCGCGAGCTACAGCAGCGTCGCCAGGCCTCCGGTGCCAACACAGTTGATATCTTTACTAAGGCGCTTCCGCCTAAAGATCATCAGCGGCACTGTGTACAGCTTGGTCTTGTTCCTGTAGCTACTCACTAGGACCTTGATTGTGTACTCCTCACTATATATTCGTGTCTAACTGGCCTTGTTGCTTTACTCCCAGTGGCTGGACTAGTAGTGCCGCCCTGGCTTGCTCTTGTCATGTCTGTATACTTGGTGACTGGTCTTCGGACCCCTGCCTCAATGGTTGGACTGGTAGTGCCACCCTGAGCTGTGTGCTTCTTGCTTAGCACCACCCCTTCTCTAGCCTAGGGAATCAAAGTAAGCGCAAGTGAATGAATGATTATTGAGAGAGTACATGTGAATATACCTAAGTGTTGTACCCTCTAAAAGGCGGCCCTATACAGTCTATGCAAACATTAGAGATACACATGTTTGACAGATACAACATCATAGCACAAAACCTCCCTGTATGGCACAATCTAGTTCATTGCATTATTCTAGCAGTATCTTCTGCGATTCCTTGCCAAAATCGGGTAACTGTACCGCCAATCGATCTGTATATGAATTCTTAGGACTAGACCTCAACTAGAGCTTCGAATCAATGTTTCAACACTGTATCTGCCGACTTGGACATGGTTTTAAGCTGAAACCATTGTAAAACCCCATTGTGGCTATCAAAGGAGCACTGCATTCAAGACATGCGTCAGTTGCATTGCATCACAGCATCTAGCCCACAAAAAATGCTACCCTGTCGTCCCATTCAAACTGGTTCTGTTCACAGCTGCTGCTGCTTCTACCTCTGCAACAGCTCCGACTCAAAGACGTGCATCTGCCCCTGCAGGAGCGGCAGCAGCAGGCGCTTCACCTCCTTGTGTGCCTGCGCCGCCTCAGAGTCTGTCAGCTTGCCTTTCGACTGCTCCACCTTCACCTCAGGCTGGTGTGCCCATGGGCAGGGTGATGCGTGTTGTGGGGTGGGGGAGACAGTGAGTTTGTAGAAAAATAAATAAGTGAAGAGGGAGGTTGCATGGGACAGAGGTTGGTTGAGTAATCAGGGAAGCAATGTCAGGATGCTGCCAGAGAGAGAAAGGCTGGTTGTGCGGGAAAAGAGGAGTGATGAGGGTAAGGGGAGGATGATGGTGAAATGCAGGTATACACAGAGGGCGATATGAGGGGTGGATCATTCGTGGCATAAACATTTGGGTGTCAGGTAGTCGGAGGGAGGAGTGGGGGAAAGGAGACGGGATGATCGGAATTGAAAGGAGAGGGGCAGGGGGATGTTTGGGGCAAGTTGGGATGCCATGTCAGGGAGGCGAGAGAGCTCATGGGGCAGGGAAGGAGGAAAGGAGTCAACTTCTTGCATGTACGTACCTCCCAGTCGTCCACTTCGCCGAAAGTGGCATCATGTACGGTCAGAGTGCCAGAGACCTCCTTGGCGTCTGCTGTAGAGCTCCTGGCTGCTCAGTGCGAAGGGAGTGGATGAGAGGGAGGAACGGTGAGGAGAGGGGAGGGGGGGAAGGGGGAAAGAGAGGGAGGGAGGGAGGGGGGAACTAGAGCGATGAAGATGACTAGCGGCTGAGAACGCATGGAAGAAGGAATGGGGTGGAGGGGATGGATTGCACAAGATATATCAAACACGGGTACTAGCGGGTGACATTGCAAGATGGAACGTGTGACATGGTACGTAACGAGTACCTGAGAGCTTGAGGCTGATGTCAAGGATGTAGCCATGCCTCCTCTTATTGCGCACAACCACGATTGTCGTCTGCCAGAGACAAGGGGTCGGCAGAGAAGGACGTTCGAGAATGTGAGCGCGAGGGAAGGAGAGTGTTATCAAGAGCTGAGGCGGGGGAAGGCGGGGTTGGTGCTGACACAGAGAGATAGATGCTGGCACGCAATCGGGCACAACAAGAAGGGAGACGCAAGCGCGTGGAGAATTCGAAGGAGGGCAGCAGGCGTTACATCGCCAGAGCAGGAGTCGACTTCGGTGGAGAGGGTGTAGGTAGCAGGGCCGATGACGGCTGGACACGAGCAACGCAGCAGCTCCTGGGAAAAGGCGTGGATACAGCCGGGAAGACAGAGAGGCACAGGGGCAAGATGAGGCAAATCGAATGGACACTGAGGAAAAGTCGTCTACATGATGACGAAGGGACACGAGATCAGCACACGAGGTTGCGAGTATAATCATCATTCACGCCCAGCAAGTCAGTTCGCGTGAATAGAAGTTTCCCTCCACTCTGCCCTTTCTGCAGCAAATCCGCGTATACACACGTCCCCTGCGCCTCGCAGCGGGACCAAAACCCGTAACCTGGCCCCGTTTCCCCTCTGGACACACCTTCAGTCGTTGCTTGGCCCAGTCGTTGAGCGATTTCTCCTCCCACGTGCCACCCTGCAGCAGCCAGTAGGAGATGGAGGCGGGAGGGCGGGAGGGATTGTGAGCGAGGTTGTGGCATATTGCAAACGAGGAACCCGAGACAAGACTCGCCGCTAAACCTTGACGCGTTGTGAACCGACAAACCGAGGGCCGTCGACAAACCGAAGCTATAGAACCGCACCCGGACTCGGGCTACAGTAGTTCACTCTTCAACCCTTCCAGCCAGCGTGCACTCTTCAAATCTTCCTGACCGGAGAGCACGACTGGTTACACCAGATCGAGACTGAATAGTAGCATCCGACAAGACGTCTTTGAACTCCCTTGCCTTCCAATTGAAGCTTACCGTGGTAGGTACAAAGTCGATCCAGTTGACTAACTCGTTGTCTTAACGAGGATGGATCCACCACGCATTCCTTCTCCGTCACTTGTCGACACTTTCCCATCGCCTTTGGATTCGTGTCGTCCGCACTCACTTGGTTCCAAGCCGATCCCTTGGAGTCGTTGCGTTGTAAGCTCGCGAGCTCTTCTTGACTTAGTCTCCTCGGCATAGGCGGTGGAGCTGCCTTCTCCTCGCCATTTCCCCGCGGGCCCACCCAGTAGCGGTACGACAGCGACGGGTCCTTGGGTATCGCAGGGTCTGGGCTTTCGGACATCGTCACCGCAATACGGATGTAAGACGAACCCTACCGCTGCAATCCCGATCGCTCCACGGATCCCTTGGAGACCCGCCTGTGTTAATTTGAATCACTTGAAGTCCTCAAGTCAGTGGCCAGCGACAGCCCGGCAAGCTATTTTCTCAGATGAGGAAATAAACCGCGCTTGACAGGACGATCAGTGGGACCTAAGCGCCGCGGATTGAAGTCCGCCTTTAGACCGACTGATGTCTCCTCTCCGTGCCTTGTGGCGTGCGGCAAGCAGAGTGTGAAGGCAGAAGTACAACGCGAATCTCAATGAGGTCCAAGATTCAAGGTGGTTCATCTGTATTCCACTGCTGCAGCTGATGGTTTGTGCGAGGTGACAGCTACGTCTCGAGAGGCTCGTGTTTTGTGTGGCGGATCTGGTCTGGCCCGAACCGAGCCTAAAGGCTGTCGGTTCGGTGTGCGGGAGGTTTGGAAGGAACGAGTCTCGGTGACTTTCTCGAGGCTCCGCGACGTTGCCCCCAGTTGCTGCGACTGGAAACGATTGGTTACGAATGACGGACTCTCCTACCGAAGCGTCCAGAAATTGAGAAACCATTCAGGGTTCGCCACGTAATACGCAAACACGACCCCTTTACTAGCATCCCCTGCACTCGAAAGAACGGCAATTTTGAAAACCAATTAGAGAAATATTATGCTGTATCGATGTAAAAGCGTATATTTTGTCGAAGAATCTAAACAATGGATAACCAGCACTGTCATATTATACGCCGGGCTACGCAATGGCGCAGACGTTCTGCCTTGGCCCATTCTTGGAAGGTACGCCCCGTGTCGACGGCGCAAGCGTCACGAAAATCGGACCCCCATCACCAGCGGCGACGCGGTGCCTGCGTTGTTGACGGAGAGGCGGAAAGAATGGGTTTGCTCTGCCCGTGTCGGCTCAAGTCTGCGAATGAAGGATAGGACGCCAGAGAGCGCTTGCCGCGACTCGTTCGTGGGGGAGGGCTGTTTGCGCAAGCACGAAGAGACATGGTTGACTACACTGCATGGCATACTATGTCCATCCAATAAGCGCCTCCCACGCGTATCATTCAAGGCTCACACGGTCCGATAACCGCATTGGGGAAGGCTGGGGGGAAACCTAGGGGGGTTCACCAAAATTGTCCTGTCGCGCAATTGGCTGGCTGCGAGGCGATCCATTTTATAGGACCGCGGACTTTCTGCCCGATAGGCATTGGTTGGCTGGCTCCCCCGATCTGTCCCCAAGCAGCAGTCGGGATATGCGCGGAGCGGAACTCCCACAACTTCAAAGAGGCGGAACGGAACACACGCGCAGCACGGGGAATGTCGAGCCAATCCAATACACGCGCGCCGAATTCACACTGAGCAACATGTCAGCGGGACAGGGTGAGGCTATGTTGTCCTTCACACTTTCCTCCACTCCACCCCTTCCCCTTCACAACTCGTCCTTCAACCGCCCGAGATTAGAGATTCCCAATGGAACCACCACAAACCTTTGTGTTTTGGTGAGCTCTGAGGATGTCCCGTCACGTCACGTGTTGAGCTCCTAGACTTTACAACTCACCGTGCAGGGCATGCAGGAGCTTTAGAATTGTAGCTATTTGTTCGCAGCTGGCGATTCCCACACACTCTTGCATCATACGCTCTCCGGCCTGGTGGAATAGAGAATAATGGTTGACGTTCCATCCGAGGATTTGTAAGCAGAGCTGTAATCCGCAATCGACTTTTCCTTTCATTAGAGTTCTCACGTGTAATCCGACGTCAATAGGGTGTGTGGAAGTGCACACCATGAGCACCACGAGCCTTCCCGGAGGAAGGCCCCGTCCGTCCTCCCTGTCGAAAGCAAAATACATACGTGGAGTCGGCATGTCGCTGACGTGGCACAACGTGTTAGCGCACGCATCGATTCTCTTGCTGCTTCTGGTCGCTCCGCGAGCCGCTAACGCCGCTGACTGGGCGACGATCGCGAAGAGGCTGGATCCAACGGGGCAGATCCTGACGTCCTGGATGAACGGCGGCAACCCTTGCGCCGACCCTCCTTTCTTAGTAAGACCAGACGCTCGGAACGGTATGACGGACGATCTAGGAGGGCTCAGTCTCGCTCGCGCCTTTACTCAAGGCTCACGGCTAGTACCTCACTTTTGTCGATCGACTTCCCCCATGTCTGACTGCCGTGCCCTCACTGTAATGATTTGTAATAACCGAGCCATCCTTTCACACTAGCACACTACCTTCCACGACTCGTCCTTCACCCTGCGTTGCTCACAGGGCGTGCAGTGCGACTCGGAGGGCCGCGTGCAGTCGATCTCGCTGGTGGGGCGCGATTTGGTGGGCAGCGTGCCGGACGAGCTGTCGCAGGTGAACGAGCTGATCAGCCTGAACCTTGACCAGAACAAGCTCACGGGCGTCATCCCCAACACGCTCAACAACCTCGTGCACCTGCAGTCCGCGTCGATATGCTGCAACCTGCTCAGCGGCCAGATCCCGGACCTGAGCCCCATGACGGCGCTCAACCTGCTGCATCTGGATGGCAACTTCCTGCAGGACGCCATTCCTGAATCGCTCGGCAAGCTGCTTCAGGTAACGAGCAGTTCCTTTTGCCTCGACTCGTCCCTGCCTGGACTCGTCCCTGACCATTGTGGTGTCTCCCTCTCGTCCCGCACATCCCTGCCCCCTCTCTGCCTCCCCCGCACCTCATTTCCACTGCTTCCGTCGTCCAGATTTCGTTTCGGCGTTTACGTGCTCCGTCTTGATAACCATGGCTGCCATTTGCAGCTATCATTATAGTCACGAACTCGCTTTTCTCCCGTTCTTTCCGTCGTCCCCCCTGACTGCCATCTTCCCCCACTCTTCCGCTTCCCTTCGTCGTCGGCGTCTCGTCTCGTCTCCCCTGGTCGCGGCCGATTCTCCCAGCTGAAGGACCTGCAGCTGAACAGCAACCACCTGTCCGGCACAGTGCCGTCGGTGCTCGGCAATCTCCAGGCGCTCACCGTGCTGCGCCTCGACCACAACTACCTCAGCGGCACGCTGCCGTCCTCGCTGACGTGGCTCGCCACCACCCCCAACGCCGTCTTTAACTTCACCGAGAATCTCTCCGACTTCTGCGGGCCCGCGCAGCTGGGCTTGCCGGTAAGGGCTAGACGGCCCCTCAAGAGACTGGCGAGGGGGATCTTATTGGAATGGTGTGGCGAGAAGGGGTTGACGACACGTGCGAAATAGTGTTTTCCTGGCTCGCGTTTTTGCGAAATATGGGACGGAACATCCACTGCTGACGTGCTTTGCACTGTTGTCCCGCTCGCGGATTCCCGTCTTGTGAAAACTTTCTGCGCCATCCCCTCTCGCCCCGTTCCCCCTTCCCTTCCCCCCCACTACCAGCTCTGCCCCGACGATCCCAACTACGTCCCCCCCGGTACAGTGCCGCCGCCGGTGGCGTCTCCCTCCACGCCACCGCCAACCGACCCCACTCCCTCTCCCACCCCTCCCACCCCTTCCCCGCCCTCCGGCGGGCAAGCGCCCCCCTCCACCCCGTCTCCCGCACCTACCCCCGGCTCCCCCGGGTCCTCCAATTCCGCTTTGTCTAATTCCTCGAACGGTGGTAGCAACAGCACCAGCAGCAGCAGCGGCGACGGGGGCGGAGTGAGTGTTGCGGTTATCGCGGGCGCGGCGGGAGGCGTAGCGGCGCTTGCGGTGATGGGGCTGCTGGCATGTTACTGCCTGCGCGCGCGGAAGCGGAAGACGGCGGTGAACGCCGCTGCGGGCGGGGCGGCGGGGGCAGCGGAAGAGGCGGCAGAGATGATGGAGAAGGGGCATCAGGGTGCCGCGCTTGCTGCTGCCAAGGCAAGTACTGGCTGGGGAGAGGGTATAGTGGGTTGCTTGGTGTGGAGGGGCGGTGCACCGGGGAAACAAGGGATGGGGAAGAGATGCGGAAAGAGAGGGGGAGGCAAGGGGTGCTGGGGGAAAGGAAGGGGAGGGCAATGGGGTACGGCGGGGAAAATACTTAGGTAGGGGTGCGGAAGGAAAGAGGCGACGGTCGATATGCATACTTGAACGTCACATGGGACACTTGATACCCTCAAGCTTGTTTTCCCGCGCCTCACTGCGTCTGGCTAACTTCGTGCGCTTGCTTTTGCGCGGTTGATTGGGGATTCGTTGATGCGACTTGTGTACGAGGACAGCGGGAATTGTCCCTTCATGCTTTCACATGTCCCGACGTGCCTGTGAATCTGTTTCTTGCGTTTCCTGCAGGGTGCCAGCGCAGCGAAAGCGGGCGCAGCGGCATCGGCGCGCAGTGCTTCCATCAAGAAGGCCAGCGGGAACGCGGCAGGCGGCGGCAGTGGGCGCAAGGGCGTGGGAGGGTCAGGACAAGCTCGCGGTGATGGCGGCGTTGCAGATGCAGCACCCGGAGCGGTGGAGAGCGGTGCTGGCAGCAACTACCCAGCGCCAGTGACGATCACGGTTGAGAAGGCCGGGGCGGCAACGGGAGGGGGGGTTACAGAGCCGCTGATTTCCGCTGCCGGGGGAGCAGCCTCTGGGGGAGGGGGAGGGGGCGCAGGCGCAGCGGTGGGGGCTGTAGCTGGCGCTGCTGCTGTCGCCGCTGCTGTTGGTGTGGGCGCGGCTGTAGCAGCAAGTCAGGATAAACGGAAGAGCAGTCCGAGAGAGTCGAGCAGCAATCAGGGGAGCAGTAGCACGCGCAGCAGCGTGGATAGGGAGGAGGGTGGCGGAGGGAGCGCAAGTGGCAGAAACGGACGCCCCTTGCCGCCCGGGCTGAAGTGGTCCAAGGGCAGCGGGAGAAAGTTTGTAGACGAGAGCGATGAGGAGGATGACCTGACCAATAAGAAGTTCTTCCCGCCGCCGCCGCCCCCGCCCCATCTATCCCCCCCATCCGGATCTCCACCCTCCGCTACCAGTGGCTCTGGCTCTGCTGCTGCGGGGAAGTCGCCCTCTACTCCCCCACTGCGCCCTCCCCCCCTGGCATCCTCCCCGTCGGCCGCTCTTGCCAGTGCAGAGAAGCAGTCGTCTCCGCGTCCGCCGCTTCCTCCCCCCCCTGCCTTCGGGCACAAGCAGCCCGCGTCCCCTCGCAGACTATCCGGAGACTCGCCCACTGCTGCTGCTGACGCTTCTGCCGCTGTAGCTTCTGCTGCTGGGGGGGGCGGTTCTGGGGCGTCGTCTCCTGGTGCTCTTGGTGGCGCTGGTGCCGCATCTGCTTCTAAAGCGGGTGGTTCTTCTGCTGCGGTGGCGGCAGTCGCTGCAGCGACAGCCGCAGTGGCTGTTGCAGGTGCAGCGGGCGCAGCAGCGGCGGCTTCCGCGTCGAGCCCCAAGGCCCGTAGCTCGTCCCCCAGTCGCCCGCCTGTTGTTATCCCCCCTGTCGTGCCGCTACCCACGCTCAAGTCCCTCAACTCCGGGAAAAATCCTCGGGCGGGTAGCCCAGGACTTTCGGCTGTTGTTGCTCCTGCTGCAGGCAATCAGGACAGTGAAGGGGGGGAGAAAGATAAGGGCAAGGAGAAAGAGAGAGGCGGGGAGAAGGGCAAGCCTTCCCCTCCGGCTGCTGCTGCGGCGGTGGGAGTGGCGTACGGCAACGCTGGCAGGGCTCTGCGCGCGGCTGATCTGGAGCTAGACGACAAGGGCGCGGGGGGATCCGCCGTGGGGGATGGCAGCAGCGCCGGGGGAGACGACGACAGCAGTGACGTGGGAGGCGCTACTGGCAGTGGCGCTGCTGCTGGTGCTGCTGGGGTTGCTGGTATCGGCATGGCGGCTGGTGCTGGCTATACTGGGTCAGGTCGCGGTGGGCTGTCCCGTGGGGGAATGGGGTCAGGGCGAGAGCTGGGCAGTCCGGGTGGTGGTGGTGGGGGCACGTGGGCGGGGGGGTCGGATATGGCGTCTGAGGCGTCGGAGGAGAGTGGCAAGGGCGGGTGGGAGCGCGCTTTCTCATTCACGGAGCTGGCGCTGGCGACGAACGACTTTGGGGCGCGCGGGCAGAGGAACGTGGTGGGGCAGGGGCGCAACGGCACGGTGTACAAGGCCCGGCTGCCGGATGGCACTACCGTCGCTGTGAAACGACTCTCAAATAAAAAGTAAGCCACTGCTTTACGAGCCCAGCTTTCACTCGGCTTGCCCTGTTTCTTCTGCTTGCCTCCCGGCAACCTCCCTCCCTCTGCTTCTTCTCTGCTTTACCCCCCACTTTTCCTTCTCTCCATTTGTAACCGTTCTGGTCGTGCTGAGATGCTAGGTGATTCCATCGTTGGCTTTCTCGTCACCTAGCCTCCTACTCTAACCTCATTTCACACAAACACACACACACCCCAGAGTCACACCCAGAATCGCACTCACGCAATCGTCCCCTCCCTCCCCCTCTTCCCCCCCTTCCCCCCCTTTCTTCCCCTGTGCCAGTCCCGACCAGACGGTGCGTGAGTTCCGCTTCGAGGCGGACGCCATGGCGCACGCGCGGCACCCGAACGTGGTGGCGCTGCTGGGGTGCTGCGCGGAGGGCGACGAGCGCATGCTCATCAGCGAGTTCGTGCCTAATGGCCCGCTCGACCTCTGGCTGCACGGCACAGGCGGGGGAGGGGCGGGAGGAGGCGGAGGGGGTGGTGCGTTTGGTGCGGGGCCCACGGAGCCCATGGAGTGGCCGCTGCGGGTGCATGTGGCGCTGGGATGCGCCAGAGGGTGAGTGGAGATGGGCTGAGATTGTGTGGTGTGGGGTTGTCTTTTAGGCGTGGATGTAAAGGTGAGTGGCGCTGCTCCCAGGCTGTCGTACCTCTGCACAAGGGCATGGACGTGAAGTCAGGGCATTGGGAGATGCAAGCCAAGTCATTGTATCCCCACCTTTCTCTCATCTGTGCGTCCCGCCTCTCCTCCCCGCCCCGCTCCCAGGCTGTCGTACCTGCACGAGGGCATGGACGTGAAGGTGGTGCACCGCGACGTGAAGGCGTCGAACGTGCTGCTGGACGCGCAGTGGAACCCCAAGCTTGGGGACTTCGCGCTCGCCAAGATCATGGGCAAGGACCAGACGCACGCCGCCACGCGCGTTGTCGGCACCTACGGGTATGCGGGAATGGGGGATTGGGGGGATTTTGGGGGCAGAAGGCTGTTGGTCTTATGTTCTGAGGTGTACAATTTCTTGGATGACTCCTCATCCTAGTGGAGGTCGCAGCCCCTGCCATCTCCCCCTCGTTTTAAGTTGGCCTGGAGTTAATTTTGGAGTAAGCTTGCGCACATGCCTGCAGAGCAGTGTTCACCCCCTTGTGTATTGTTTGCCATGCGTGTGTCGCCTTGCTTCCTTGGCCCATTCCCCCCTGCCTGTCCGTGCAGGTACGTGGCGCCCGAGTACCTGAACACGGGTATTCTGACAGAGCGCAGTGACGTGTACAGCTACGGCGTGCTGCTGCTTGAGCTCGTGACTGGCAGGCGACCCATCGACAACCACCTGCCGCCGGAACAGGTGAGAGGATGCATGGTTATGCCGCTAGCTGCTGCTGCTGCTGCTGCTCCTTGGAGAGGGCTTATGGACTGTGTGAGAGTGCAGAAATAAATTGCGCCCTGTGGTGCTAGTGCTTTCTGCTGTTCACCAGCAAACAGACTCGAAATCAAGCGTTTTCTGAACCCTCTCGCTTGCTCACTTGCTCGTGCTTGCTCCACGTCAAATGTGCCACCCCCCTGTCTCCCCTGGCAGGTGGACGTGGTGCGGTGGGTGAAGCGGTTGTCAGCGGAGGAGCGCGTGGTGGAGGCGCTGGATCCGCGCATAGCGGGCAGCGTGCCGGGCGATGACGTGGAGTATGTGGTGGGCATTGCGCTGCGCTGCATCGACGCCAACGCGCTCAAGCGCCCGCGCATGAAGCAGATCGTGCACATGCTCGAGAGCGAGGACCCCGCCCTGGTGCGTTCCAGTTTTTTTGGGGGGGGGGGAGGAAGGGCGGGCTGAGTGATGTGTGAGCATGGGACCATGGTCCATTTGGATGGATTCTGTGAAGAGGCAAAGTTGAGGAGAGGGTGTGCTAGGGGTGTAATTTGTGTGAGCGGGAAAGGGATGGGTTTGCCTTATGCTGGGTAGAGTAGTGAGAACTGTGTGCTCTGTTGCTGTTGCTGCAATATCTTGGGGCGGTTTTTGTCACTCAGTCGGGCCCGCATCTCACCTCGCACTTCCTAACCACTTCCTCCCTCGCCTCCCTATCCCATTCCCCCACTGCTGCACTGGTGACAACAACAGAGAGACGGGTGGGTGGCGAAGAGGCCGAGTCCTGCGAGTGCCAAGGCGCTGCGTGACTCCAGTCCGTCCTGGTACCACCGCGGTGCTGCCTCGGAATCCCCCGCCGCGCCTTCCTCTGCCACCGCTGCTGTCATGGCCATCTCCCGAGCCAGCCCCCGAGGCTCCAGCCCCAGGTTCGGCGGGGCAGTTCCTGGGGTCTCTGCGCCGGGTTCAGCGCGCGCTGCAGTCACCAGGCACACCGACATGCTTCGCTCGGGCAGCCCGAGGAATTTTGTTGGTGGTGCCACGGGCAGCAGCCCGAAAGCGGCGGATATTGGCGGGATGATTGCGTCGGCTGCGATGAAAGCAGGTGCGGTGGGTGGGAGCCCGCGAGCAGGTGGGTATATTGGATACAGCCCCACGAAAGGAGGGGGTGCAGTTCCAGCTTCCCCACCATCAGCAAGAAATGGTGGTGTGAGCGGAGCATCGAGGGTGAGTGCAAGCCCACCGAAACTGCCTCCTTATGCGCAGGGAGGGAGCCCGTCTGCTGCCAGGCTTGCTGGGATGGGAGGGACAGGAGGGCTAAGGGGGGGAAGTCCAGGGGGTGCTGGGTATAGGACTGGCTCCAGTCCTAATGCTCCGCTGTATGGCGTGGGTTCAGGAGGGATGTACGGCCAAGGAGGGTCTGGAAGAATGGGTGATGGCGGTGGTGCTGCCGAGGGCATTATCTCAAGCCAAGCGATGAGCATTTCCACGACGCGGGGATTGGGAGGTTGGAGTAGGCGATAGGGGCTTGAAAATTCGGCGAGGATTGCAGTGGATGGTATGGAGTACTTTTAGTGGCTGTGGGAGAAAGTGGTGATAGTTTTGACTAGTTTTAAAGCTTATGTTTTGGTTGGGACAACAAGTCCATTGGTACACATGATTGTCTTGCATTAATGGTTGAACAAATCGTTTGGCTGTTTCAACTTATGTAAGAAGGAAACTTTCAGCTAATGTCGCGATTTTTTGGACACATGTGACAACAGTAGGCAGTGTGAGTGACAACTGGTCGGATTTGTGAAGGCCAGCGCAGTGCTGGACCGAGTGCAACGTGAATCCAGCTCAGCTACTAACACGTGGAGCTCTCTAACGAATTCCATTTCAGCAATGGTGTGGATGTGGTCCTGAATGACGTGGCCAGTCAATGTCACCTGCGTGTCTGTCAGTTGTATCTGTCTGCGGCATCATGCTGGCGCGGCGCGCTCTAGTATGTTCGTTTCTTGTGTCCCCGTCATCGGGGATTTAGTTCGCTTTGGCCCCACACCACCGCTCCCCGCAAAATCTCCGCCCAGCGCTCCTCGATTCTTCGATTCTCCCCCGCCCCCATGTCTCAATGCTGCCAGGCACTCACAGGAAGTTCATATTGCATTTGCGTGACGCATTTCTTGCACCAAATTCCATTTTTCCCAAGCCAAGATTGAGACCAACAAGCACAGGACGCTATTACTGCCTTGCGTAGAAGCTACTAAACGTCACCAGCAACGATTCCACCATTTTATTCGTCCCTGAAGCTCGTGCTCCCGTCAGCGAACGTCTAGGTCTCTCTCCATACAGCAAACTAGCGCTTTCGTGCGGACTTTGCAGTTGCTTTCCGTCACGAAATCAACACTTCGTCACAAACCTTCAGGCATCGACCTCCATTGACCTCTGCTGCCATCGGCGTCTGAAGCAGAACTTCACGCCGTGCATAGCGGATAGCGCCTCGTAATTCGTGAACCGCGAAACTCACATCGCCGCATACGCGAGACATGGCGTCGACGCGCAAGTTCCTGGTAGCCGTGGACGACAGTGAGGTGTCGGCGTACGCGTTCACGTGGGCCATCACGAACCTCTTCCGCGCGGGGGACTCCGTGCTCGTGCTCACCGCCAAAAACTACGCGCCCGACATGCCACTGCCCACCGCCGACATCGCCGCAGGGGGTGAGCGCGCCGTTTCCCGGAGTCGTTTCGCCGAGTAATTTGCGAAGGAGTCGCTGGTGGAGGAGCCGTTGTTTCTCGCCCTCTGCTGCTCGTCGCCGTGCTTTGGCTCCACTTGTCGCCAAACGCCATGTTGCTCTAATTCTTTTCCTTGTTACCAACGCCATGTTTTCTAATATCTCCCGTTCCCTCTCCCCCTGCTTTCCCTCCTATTTCTCGTCCTGCTCTCTGCTCTCTGCTCTCTGCGCGTGCGGCAGGCGAGTACGCGGTGCCGCTGGTGGCGCCGGTGTCGCAGGAGGAGCAGCTGGCGGTGGAGGAGCGGGCGCGTGCGCTGGTGGACAAGTACATGCGCCAGTGCGAGCAGGCGCAGGTGAGTGCGGCATGACAGGGTAAGTCGCAACAAATGCATTGCAATGATTGCAAAAGCTTCAAGCATGCTTTGAAGTGAACAAGGTCTGTACGTCGCTCACGGGCTCTCTCGTTCTCGTATACCTCGCGCCAGGTGGTGAGCGAGGGCGAAGTGGTGCAGGGCGACTGGAATAACGTCTCTTAAACACCCATTCTCGTAAGGTGTACGAAGCACCAATTCCCCTGTTTTTCTCGCTTTCTCGTAACCCCCGCGCCAGGTGGTGAGCGAGGGCGAGGTGGTGCAGGGCGACCCCGGGCCGCACATCGTGAATGAGGCAGCGCGCATGGTGGCGGACGCGCTCGTTTTGGGCAGCCATGGCCGCGGAATTCTCGGCAGGTGCGCGGGGGATGGGCGCGAGGGGAATGGGTCTCGGGTAGAGCTTTGAGGGGGGGAGGTGGGGGGAGGTGGGGGGAGGGGGGGGGCGCTCATATTCTCATATGCTAGCCCCCACATGCTGCTATGTTCGTGTGCCCTGGTGCCCTGGTGCCCTGTTCGCCCCTCAGTTTCTCCGCCCATTATCCGCTGCTTGCCTGCTTGCAGGACCTTTCTGGGAAGCATCAGCGACTATGTCAGGCACCACTCCACTGGTACGCTGCGCTCCTCCGTTCCCCGGATTTCGACCTTCCTGCGTCCTACCTCGTTGCCATTCCATTCCTCCACTTCGTATTTTGTCCTTCGCTCCCTCCTTCGCTCCTCCTTTCGTCTCTCCCCCCTTTACTGTCACTGCATCCTCGCCCCAAGCGTTCCATACTCCTCGCGCTCTCCCCCTCACTCTCCCGGCCTTCATCTCCTCCCCTTCTCCCCTCCCCTTCCCCACTCTCTTTCTCCCCCCCCCTCCCCCCAGTGCCGGTGGTGATAGTGCGGCAGCCCAAGGCAGGCGAGGCGGCGCACGACGCGCTGACGAGCTCGGGCATGGCGAGGCGCGTCGTGATCGCCGTGGACGAGAGCAGCGAGGTGAGGGGTGCGCGGTGCTCAATGCGGTGGGGGGAGAAAGGGGGGGGGGGAGAGGAGGGGGGTGGGGGGAGGAGTTGAACAAACAAGTGCCCTGCTGTTGCTCCATTCACCAGTATGTCTACACCCAGTAAGACCAACGCCGTGTATTGTACTCCACGCAGCACCGCCGGTGTCTCTTTGCTCGTACCGTACCCCTCCGCATTCCGCAGTTCTGGAGAAGAACCGCCTGAGCTCTCACCATTCCTCGCCCTCCTCCATATCTTTCAACCCCTCGAAGCCCCTCTAAAACCCTCTCGAACCCCTGTTACCCCCCCCTCCCCCCCTCCCTTCCCCCCAGGCGGACTTCGCGTTCGCGTGGGCGATGCGGCACGTGGTGCAGGACCGCGACCGCCTCACGGTGCTGCACGTGCAGAACCCCATCGCCGCGCCCACCTCGCTCGGCATCGGTAAGCCCGGGGTCGGGGCCCTGGGGTTGGGAGCCTGGGGCGCCTGGGGGTGTCGGGAGTCGGGATTGAGGTTTTGGGAGTTGGGTGGGGGTGGGAGTGATGAATGCTTGCGTATGTTAGGGATGCGTGTGTGGATGGATCGGATGCTGGATAGGGTGTGTGTTCCTCCCCTGCTCCTCCTCTGCCTCTCACCTGCATTCCTCTGCCGGCCCCCCCGATGCCGCCGATGCCGCGTTCCCCTGTCTCATCCACTCCCTCCCACCCCCCCTCCTCCCCGCGCCCCCGCCCCCCCATGCGCCACGGTCATCAGCAGACCAGTTCGGCATGGAGGACGTGTACATGCCGCCCGACACCAGCAACCGCGCCAACGTGAAGGCGCTGGACGACAGCGAGAAGCTCGTCGAGCGATTCATGCGCCTCGTGGGGGAGGGCAGCAAGGTGCGGGAGGGGGGGGGGGGGGGGGGAGGATATGGGACGTGCCATTTAGTTTGTTTAAATTAGCGCCTATGATTGGTACCCTGACTTGTCGTGCCATGCCATGCCATACCAAACCCTGGATGTGACGTGCGTGCAGGCGGAGTGCGAGGGGCGGGTGGTGATGGGCCCCACGGAGGAGCGCCTGGTGGAGGAACTCAAGCAGCTCAACGCCGACCTGGCCGTGGTGGGCACCAGGGATCACGACGTCATCTCTCGGTACGCCGCCACACACTCCCCATTGCATCTATTGCAACTCATCCCATCCCACCCCGTCTCATTCCATCTCATCTCCTCGGTGATTGGGGAGGGGACTCGTGGAGGTCATTGTGGTGACAGCAATTGGCCAGGATAGTGTGGTTTACTTGGGATGCGGTGATGGCTATCAAACACACTATGACAGGAACAAGGAGAGAAGAAAGCACATGACAACCTTGCATAGTGTTGCCACCACTTGAGCCTCGCTCCCAACTTAGTCCCCATCTCCTCCCCCGACTCCTCTTCCCCCATCCCTCCATCCCCCAATCCCCCGGCTGTGCCGCCTCTCTTTCACGCCCCCCGTCACCATACCTCGCAGCACGTTCCTTGGAAGCGTCAGCGACTATCTCGCGCACAACTGGTGAGCAACGCCCTCCCTCGCACCGTGCGCTCGCCGCGTTTATCGAGCGTTCATGCTCAAGAATCTTCCTGCGTTCGTTCTTATCTGCTTGTCCTCCGCTCCCGCTTTCCCTCGCATACCCCAACCCGATTTCCGTCCTATCCTCTCTGCCACACACCCCTGTCCTCATTCCTCCCCTTCTCCCTCCTCCCCTTCCCCCCCCCACCACACACCCCCCCCCCCAGCCCGTGTCCCCTGGTGGTGGCGAAGATGCCCAAGCCCGACTCCCGCCCCGGCTCCACGCAGGCCTCTCCGCGCGACTCCCACCAGCACGCCATCTGACTCCCCCCCCCCTCCGCTGCCGCTGTCGCTGCCGCTGCCGCTGCTGCTGCCGATGACTCTGGAATCTGTACCAGCTTTTGTTGGGTGGGGGCAACTCCTGGGGTGAGGAGCACCCATGGTGGCAGCTCTCGTAGCAGCTTTGGTGGCAGAGGGGCCAACAGCAGCAGCAACAGGGTGTGGAAGCCCAACTACATTAGAGGCAGTGTCAGAGATGTTCAGACATTTGGAATGGCAACAGTCATGCACTCCACTGGAGTGCACAAGTTGGACGTATCCCAACATCGTCTCTCCTGCATCCCGCCCTCAATTGTCCTTGCTTGCCCCACCCCCTTCGCTCAGCCCTGCTCACACTCCTTGCTCATAAAGCCCTACCACCTCTAGCTCTCCATGCATTCTGATGCAACGCTTTTGGCTCACATCACATGTGTGGGTGGTCTTCATTTGATGGCTATCATCCCCCCTTCTATGTATTCGCTGCTAGCCCCCTTAGTGCTTTTGCTCGCTTGCCACTACTTTGTCATTTACCCCACTCTACTCAAAAGCCATGTTGGACTCGTTTCATTGACAAGTCTGCCTTTGTGTAAAGTTTTTAATTTTAGAGACAGCGTTGGTTGTTTTCCTTTTTTCCCATAACACACAAAATCTCCCTTAAAAAAGCGCTATCCAACAATGGGTGCGCTTTGTATGACGTTGCTCTACTTGTGGGGTAAATTGCGACTAGCATAGCAAATAGCATAACAATATTCGGGCTGCTGCTGTACATGTGTAATCTTCTGCAAAATACCAGGCCCAAAATCGAGGTCGACTTTTTTTCGATCCCGTCATCGTGACCATCCATTTCCCTTAGCACATTTCCGCAGCCTTGCTCTCACTCTCTCACCCCACCGAACCCTTCAAATGCTGCCTCTCTGTGTTCCAGCCCTACCTCCCTCGAGATCTACTTTCCCACGCTGCCGCTTTCAGCCTTTCTCCCTGGCTGCTCCTTCCTCGTTGGGGTTCCTGAACCTGTCGTGCGAACGCAAGGTCAGGTTTCTGATATCCTGCTCGTTTCTGACCGAGTGAGCTCTTAGGCTAACCGCTTCATTTTTCCGCGGAGTTTCGACGGTTGGAATTGTGTAGGCTTTTCGACGAATTATCTCCCTCCTTTAGATCTAACTGCTTTTCAAGCCTAACCATCGTCGCAAATCAGCATGACCGATTTCGACGAGTACGAGTATTTGGAGAAGGCGGTAGAGCAGGGCGTCGGAGGGGATGAGGACGGCGGAGAGGTAGCGCCAGACGGCGAGGAGAGACGGAAGCGGGAGGGGGAGAACGGCGCGGGGGAGGACCAGGAAGACGAGAATCGGAGCAAACGATCCCGTCGGGATGACGACAAGGAGAGGGACCGTGACAGAGATCGCAGCGGGAAGGACCGCGACAGAGACCGCGAGCGGGAGAAGGATAAGGATCGCAGCGGCCGGGACAAAGACCGCGACAAGGACCGCAGCGACCGGCACCGTGACAGGGATCGCGACCGGAGCGACCGCGGGGATCGCGATCGCGAGCGGGATCGGACTCGGGAGCGGGAAGGGCACGATCGGCACAGAGACAGGGACCGTGAACGGAGGAGAGGAGACAGAGACCGCGAGAGCGAGAGGAGGCACAGAGAGCACGGGTACGTGGTGCTTGCTGCGCGCGAGACTAGTCCTTGCTTTATCGTGCGGTATTAGTAGGAGCACAAGTAATGACGCTTGATTGTGAGGCGTGTGTGGGCATGCTAGTGCAATTCTGGCATTTGCGCGATCTATCGCAATCGTCTCTGATGTCGATAATCATGGACATTTCGCGGTGCGACATGTAGCATTCTATTGATCGCGATACTAATCGTAATCTGCCTCTGTCTGTTGTTTCCCTCTGATGGCGTTGCAGGCGGGGGGACAGGCGAGAGAAGAAGGACAAGGAGGCGGAGCTAGAGCTCGATCCCGAGCGAGATCAGCGCACCGTGTTCGCCTATCAGGTACGCCGATTAATTCTAAACAAAAACCTTTTTTATTCAAAGCTCGTCAGTGTGCTTTTTCTACTGCTCTTCGCGTGGCTGTCGCCCTAATGCGTTTTCTCGTCGGCGTTGTGGGGTCTGTGTTGCAGATTAATCTGAAGGCGGATGAGAGGGACATTTACGAGTTCTTCACTCAAGCTGGCAAGGTGAGCGAAGCTTCGTGCTGTTTCATGTAGCGGCTACAGCTTCTGCACCATTGCCTGTTACCCGCTTCTGCTCAATGTTTCGCACAGCAGCAGTGTCTTCGCCAAATTGGTTCTTCCCTGACGGTTCCAGTTTCGGAACCACACTACCTGCTCCTGGTTTCCCCCCCTTCCCTCCAATCGTCGCGTTTCCTTTTCCCATCTCTCCCTTGTGTCTCTTTTTCGTCTCCCTTTCCCCCGCTCCCCCTCTCCCCCTTCATATCCCCTTTTTGTGTCGTCTGGTCGTGCCTCGCAGGTGCGCGACGTGCGTCTCATCATGGACCGTAACTCTCGCCGCTCCAAGGGTGTCGGGTCAGTCTTTTTCCCTCGCCCTCCTTGCTCCATCTCCTTTTCCCCCAAACCCTTTACCTCCCTTCCCCCCTTTTTGCCCGGCCTCTTTGCCGCATCCTCCTCTTCGCTCATATTTCCCTACCCTCCTCTGTCCCAGCATTGACAGCAGGAAACTTATCTCACTCTCTCTATCCACTCGGCCTCTCTCCGTAAACGCTCCTCGTCCCCTTCCCACCCTGCCCGTCCCCTTCCCCTTTCCCCCTCCCTCCCCCGCCCTCCCCCGCAGGTACATCGAGTTCTACGACGTGATGTCGGTGCCCATGGCGATAGCCCTCTCGGGGCAGCTGCTGCTGGGGTCGCCCGTAATGGTGAAGCCGTCGGAGGCGGAGAAAAACCTGGCGGCGCAGAACCCGCTGCCCGTCGTCGCGGGCATGGCGGGGCTGCCGGGCGTGGCGGGGTCGGGCTTCCTCGTGCCGAGCCTGGCGGCGGCGTCGAAGAAGCTGCACGTGGGCAACCTGCACGTCAACATGAACGAGGAGCAGCTGCGCCAGGTGCGTCGCGAGGGGCAGCTGCGCCAAGTGCGCTCCCCGCGCGAGCTTGGCTGCTGGTCTGGATGGATTGGCTGGTTCTTTGCGGTGCTCGGTTGCGGCGGAGCGTGCGAGGGCTAGAATGTTCGGGATGAGGGAGGGGGCCGGGGAGCGGGGGGAGGAAGGGGACTGGATAATGGATAAGGCGGAAGGAAAGGGCATGGTGTGGTGAGCACGGTTGAGGGGGTATGTGATGGGGACGATGGGGAAGCATGGTTCCAGCAGGCTGTTTCGTCTCCCATGACAGTCTTACATCTATCCCTCCCCTCTCTTCAACTCCCCCCTTCACTCCCGGCCCTCCTTTCTCTCTCCCCCACTCTCTCCCCTCCCTGCTCTCCGCTCCCCTCTCTCGCCGTTCACTTTTCCTGCCCATTTCCACCCCATAACTTCGCGCGTTCCTTTTCTTTGTTCCTTCTCCATTCTCCCCGTTTAATCCGGCTCCATATCCGTCACGCTTCCATGCCAATAATCTGTGTGTGTGTGTGTGTGTGTGCGTGCGTGCGTGTGCGTGTGTGAGTGTGCGTGTGTGTGTGTGTGTGTGTGTGTGTGTGTGTGTGTGTGTGTGTGCAGGTGTTCGAGCCGTTTGGGGATCTGGAGCTGGTTCAGGTGCCCACAGAAGAGTCTGGCAAGTGCAAGGGCTTTGGCTTTGTCACAGTGAGCTTCTCCTGCCCCTCGCTACCACTCTCAACTCTTACTTAGAAAACAAGCTCTCATTTGATGCCGCAGCCAGCACACGCCAGGTGCCTTTTGTCCTGTCAACGCCACTCTATGCGCCGAATGAGGCCATGCTCTTGTCCTGTACCCGCAATAGCATGAAGTTCGTTGTTTCCGTGTGTCCGTAACTGTACTCTTGTCTTGTGCGTTTGCCAACGATTGACCGCCAGAGCTCTGACCGCCAGCCACTGACCGCCAGCCACTGACCGCCAGCCACTGACCGCTAGAGCTCTGACCGCCAGAGCTCTGACCGCAGTCTCTCCTTTTGAATTCCCGTGTGACTGCATTCCCTGCGCGTGGCATGACAGTATGCCAAGGTGGAGGACGCACGTATGGCGGCAAGCAACCTGCAGGGCCTGGAGCTGGCAGGGCTCGCGATCAAGGTGAGTGAGGAAGGGGAAAAGGGTGGGGCGGGGGGGGGAGGGAGGGAGTGGTTGATGACCCAACTGCCTTGTTCCTTTTCAGACTGCCATTGCAAGAGGATATATCCGTCCAGCAGTTGTTGCTGCTTCTTCTGCCTTGCGCCCACTGCTTTCTTGTTCTCTCTCTGTGTTCCTCTATGTGCGTTGGTTGCTCCCAGATCACGCCAGTGCCCGACACCTATGGCGTGGCGGACTCAGTGCAGGCAGTGCCAGGCCAACTTGACGAGGGCGAGGGCGGCATGGTGAGAGTCTCCTACTGCCTCTCTTCTCCCTCACCTGTCATCCGCCTCTTGGCGTTCCCCTCGTTCCCTGTCTGTTTTTTGCTATTCCTTCTGCTGTACTTGTATTTTCTTGAGAACTCCCCCTTCCTCCCCCCCCCCCCCCCAACGCCCCTTCCCCTCTCTCCCCTTCCTCCCCGTCCCTCTTACGTCAACGCCGTGTTGGTCCGTCCTCCTTGGCGTGCAGGCTCTGAGTGCGCAGTCTCGTGCTGCTCTTATGATGAAGCTCGATCGCACAGGGTAAGCCACTGCCATCAACCTCTCGCGCTCTGCATTTAATCTCCGCCCTCTTCTCTTGTTGCCACAAAGCCTCGCCCTCGTCGCCTCTCACTCCCTTCTGCACATGACTTCCGCTGCCGCATCTCCATCCCGCTCGGCAGCGTGGCAGGTGCGCCTGTGCTGCCATCGCCGGCTGGAGTGAACCCAGCAGCCATGGGTCTTCTCAGTAGCAACCCCCTGGCCGCCATGGCTCTCCGTCCTGGCCTCCTGCCCCCTGCTGGTGGCGGCCTCGCTTCCATCCCCGGAGGAGCAGCAGCCGCAGCAGCTGCAGCGGCAGCTCTCGCTGCGAACCCGCTCATTGCGGCTGCAGCTGCTGCTGGGGGGGGGACGCCTTTGCCTCCGCCTGCTGCCGCTGCGGCTGCGGCTATGGCTGCAGCAGCTGCGGCCGGTGGCGGTGCGGCTGCTCCTGCGGCAGCGGAAGTGGTTGGGCCGCCAACAGAGTGCCTTCTGCTCACCAACATGTTCGACCCGTCTCAGGATGTATGTGTGCCTGATCCTTTCGGCCCTTCATTAACCTGCGCGAATGCTGTCTTTGCTGTCTAACCACCTACCCTCATTCCCCCTCCTCGCCCCCTTCCCCCTTACCCCCTCCCCTGCCACTCCCTTCTTTTCCCGTGGTTCTGCACCTTCAGCCCGTACCCCCTATGCCTTGTCACAGAGCCACTGCTGTTCTGCTCCTCACACGGTCTGCGCCCTTCCCCCCCCCCCTCGGCCTTGCTGTGCGTGTGTGTGTGCGTGCGTGCGCGCTGGGTGGCAGATCGACGAGGAGTTTGAGCAGGACATACGGGAGGACGTGGAGGACGAGTGCACCAAGTTCGGGCCTGTCAAGAAGGTCTACGTCGACCGGTGAGACAAGCTCGGAACGCGCTGGAGTGTGCATGGCGTGTGGTGTGGCCAGCTTCTGCTGTGTATGCGGGGGTTGCTGGATGCGTGGTGCTCAATGGGTGCATGAATAAGTCAGTTGTGCATTTACCGGTCGGTGAATGCAGGCTGGAGCCTCCTTGGCGTTTTGAATCCCCTCCATGCTTGTCCTGTCTGTCCACGGCTCTCACCCCACTTGTGAATCTTCCCAACTCTCCCCCCCTCCGCTGCCCCTTCTTCGACCCTCACAGGCACAGCAGTGGGCATGTGTACGTGCTGTTTGAGGCGGCGACATCAGCCGCAGCGGCACGTGCAGCGCTGCACAACCGCTACTTCGCCGGCAAAGCCATCAGTGCCACCTTCATTGTAAGCACAGCATGTGCTGCTCCCCCCCTCTCCTTCCCCCCTCTGCCCTGCTGCTTCGCTGATTTCGGAGCAGCGCATTTTCCTTCATTGAAATGTATGTTGCGACTGACCGTTTACTCCTTTCTGTGTTGTCTTCCTGCTGTGCCTTTCCCTCCTCTTCATTGTTGTGTCTTGCTGCAGACTCCTGCCCAAGTGTCAGCCAAGTTTGGTGGCACGTAGGGGGTGTGCTGCCATGTGCAGGAGCAGGAGCAGGTGCAAGCGGAAGGGCAGGTGCAGATGCAGGGCTGCTGGACAGAGTGTAGATGCGGATTGAGGGCCCGGGAGACTCGTCGGCTGGTCCTTGGGGTTTGCGTGGTGGAAACGCTCTGGCCTGGCAGGGATGGGTTTGTATCTGCTGCTGCCGCCGCCGCCGCTGCTGCTGCGCCGCTGTCTGGTGCTTCTGGCTTGTGGCCCAATGCAGCAATGCTCTCATGCTTCTCAAGTGATTGGTGGCAGAGAGTCGAGTCGCCGAGAGTCAGGGTGAAGTCGTTGGAGTACCCAAGTCAAGTGAAGACCCCCCCTCTGTGTTTCTTCTCTTGGGCTCGTACGGGCTGCTTGAGCAGTGCTCGTGCCGGTGCTGGTGCTGCTGGTGCCGCTCGTGCTGCTCGTGGTCGGGCTGCTGCTGCTTCTGCTGGTGGTGCTGCTGTCTGGCCCTCCCTGCTGTACCTCCGCTGCACTGCTTCGACTGCGGTCGCTTTCTGGCCGTTCTTCTCTGCAATCCAAGTGCTGCTGCCGGCCATGGCATCGCATGACCACCTTGCACTCAAACGGGTTCAGGGTGGCATGCATGCACCCTGCGTGCATAAGATTGCATGCCTTTCCTTCTCCCTCTCTAGTTGCCCACTAATTCCATCACCTACCAACCTCCTACCCATGGAGGAATATTGCTTTTCTCGTCCCACTCACCTTGTCCCTTCGCTCCTTCCCATGGTTGCCCCAGGTCCTAGGCTCTTGAGATGATGAGAATCATGACATGACCACGGGCTCTGCACCTGCCCATTCCCTGCTTGTTGGATCGATTCGATACTGTACCCTTTCATACGTCTGGAATCGCCCCTGCACAGCTTCCCGCACATGCTTTTGATAGGTGATTTGAAAGAAATATGCATGGTTTCCTTCAAGTTGTGGCCATTTTTTTTGCAGGTGAGTTGCGTTTCCATTTGTAACAGAACGGTTGCCGGGAAACTTTCTTGTAGCGACACTATATAAAGAAGTCCGTTAGCGAATGACAGGAAAGCGGGGTGGTTTTACGCCACACGCGTGTACCAGTGCAGAAGATCATGGAGAGGTTTTACGCCACTTTTTGGAGTGGCATGTACGTTCTACTTGTCATATATGCCCATCACGGCTCGACACATTCACAAGAGTCTGTGACCAGATATGGCTGCTGCAGCAATCATCTCAGCGCCGGTCGCACGGGCGGCGGCGAACCGTCTACTACATCCTTGCTGCGCCGTCGCACGCGCTACGAATGCATCCTCTAGCCGGCTAGCCGGCTCCCAGTCGTCTAGCCGCCGGTGCTCGTTTGCAGCCGTTTCTGGCGGGCACAGGAGCAATGAGAACGTCTGTGGCTGCAGTTGCCGGAGGGGAATCACGGGGAGCGCCGGTGCTTGCGGAACAGCGCCTAGGCCTGTTCCGCGCGCGCTCGCGCAGGATTCCGCCGGGAGAGCTGTTGCGCCTTCCGCGAAGCACTTCCCCTCGAGTATTTGGTCGCAAAGTCGCGCGCCCAGGCGGTGGCGGACGGGGCCGGCTGCGCTGGGCGGGGCGCAGTCAGCGGGTTCCGCCGACGGGGCGTCTAGACCTCCGCCTCCGTTCCCTCTCCCAAGCACATTCCCCCTGCCGCTCACCCCCCCTGTCACCCTTACTAGCCAACCACCCAGCACCAGCAGCGGCAGCAGCACCAGCAGCGGCAGCAGCGGCAGCAAGGGAAAGCCGGTGCAGGAGCTGACGGGCGAGGAGGTGATAGCGCTGCTGCATCCGCTGATCGAGGCGCAGCGGTGGCGGCGCATGGAGCAGGTGGCGGCGGGGCGCACGTTCGCCGTGGTGCCCGTGGTGGAGGGCCTCGCGGACCTCGGGAACGTCTCCGCCGTGTGCCGCACTGCGGACGGGCTGGGGTTCCAAAACGTGCACGTCATCGCCACGCGCAGCTATGGGGGGGACGGTGGGGTTAGCAGTGCGAGCAGTGCGAGCAGTGGGAACAGTGGGAGCATTGGGAGCAGTTGGGGCAGCGGGGGCAGCATAGAGGAAGATTATTTTGGGCTGGAGGGGAGTGACAGTGACGGTGAGAGCAGTGGGTCCAGCGGGAGTGGCAGCGGTAGTGAGAGCGAGAGTGCAGCTGCTGCGTTCTTCGGAGGGAAGAAGAAGAAGGGCAGGAGGAAGGGACCGAGCAACATGTACCGGCAGAGCTCGCGAGTGAGCGTGGGCGCGGACAAGTGGCTGCACGTGGAGACGTGGGACACCACGGGGGAGTGCGTGGACGAGCTCAAGAGACGGGGGTATCGCATCGCCATCACGTCTCTCTCTGACCGAACAGTAAGATATGATATGTTATGATATCTTATGATATGTTATGAGTGTCTGCTGCTTTGTACTCTGCAGCATTTCCTGTAGCGTTTTGTCCTTCACCATTCTGCCGGCTGCCTCTCTCCTCTGTTGCGTAGCTGTTCAACGAGTCGCCCCTTCAACCCTTGCTATCTGGACCATTCCATGCGACTTCACCCATGCGCTCATGCGCTCATGCGCCCACCCCCTGTGTGCAGGTGCCTATATATGACGTCGATTGGACTGTACCCACTGCCATTGTCTTCGGCAACGAACACAGGTGCTGCTGCCGCTTCTGCTACTGCTGCTGCTGCTGCTGCTGCTCACCCTTCCCTTCCGCCCTGTCTGCTGCTGAGCCATTCCATGCGTCTTCACCCTTGCACCACTGTCTGCTGCTCCCCATAAAATTCACAAGCCCTTACCTCCGTTCCCTGTGCTCCCTGGTCCCTCCCCCTAACACAACACCCCCACCAATCCTCTCCCCCATGGCAGCGGAGTGTCGGATGAGATGCAGCGCGCGGCGGACGTGGTGGTGGGCATCCCGATGGCAGGCATGGTGGAGTCGTTCAACATCTCCGTCGCCGCTGCACTCACGCTGCACCAGGCTGCACGCATGCGACTCAGCACCCTGGTGGGTTCATGGGGGGTGTGCACGTGCAGGTGCAGGCGTGGGCATGGCTTGGGCAGAATCATGGAGTTGCACTTTCATTCTATCATCGTGCATTGTGTACATTCCGCGCCACACCAGGGCTATCACGGGGACCTGTCGCCCGCCCAGCAGCGCGTTCTCCTGGCGCACTTTGCCCTGCGCCATCGCGGCCATCGCTCACGCAGTGTCGTCGAGCACCTCGTGCTCACCCGCGCCAAGGCCGCTGCACACCATGCCACCACTGCTGCTGCTGATAGTGATGATGATGCCGCTGCTGCTGCTGCTGCTGCTGTTGAAAGTGGTTCAGAAGCCAGGGGTGTCCCCGTTACCGGAACCGCTCTTGGCAGCAGTGCACTGGAGGGGGCAGCAGCGCGGAGGGTGGAGGCACAGGAGAGGCATGTGGGGAAAGAGAGGGGAGTGGGTGCTGCTGCAGTGACGGTTGATAGGGATACTGCTGCGGCAATTGCAGCTGCTGGGCATAGTGGCATCCGCTATGCAGTAGAGGTACCGCCAATCGGTTGCTGAGGTGGGGAGGTGGGAAGAAGCATGGCCATTCGGTTTATTGAACACTAGGGAAGCTGCTTGTGCTTGTGGCTGGATGTTACATACCGTGAAGTCCACTGTGGTGATGATGCTTGTACTAGTGTTGTTACTATTGGATGAAAGGACCACTCCTGAAAGCAGAGCTGTTCATGCAATCTAGCTAGAGCTAAACTGGGCAACAAGCCCTTTCATTCAGAAGGGGGGAGTTGGCATAGCAGCATGTGGGGAGAGTTAGGGGTGGTTGGGGCAGTTGGGGCTGGGGAAGTGAAGGGTTGCAAGGTGAGGGGGCATAGGGTATTAGGGAGGGAGGGAGGTGCGAGGAACATAGGTAGTGAGGAGAGAGGGAGAGCGAGGAGGAGCGAACTAGAGGAATGTTGCTTTGCTTTTTGTTTGTAGCTGGGAGATGGGTACACTGTACAACGAACAACTACAGGATCACCATCAGGAACTTACCTGTATCTTCTGCCTCAGAACGCGAGTCGAGCTATCAGGTTCACGCGATACGTTGCGGGTTGGCTGCAGGTCGCCTTTAGGTGGGTCGCCGCCCATTCCGTCATTACTCCCTCCTCCCATTCTCCCAACAAACCCCCTGCCCCCCTTCACGCTTCTCTCTGCTTCCCGCTGCCCGCTGCCCGCTGTTAAATTATATATGTTAGTATATAATTGTAGGCTTGGTAGCGGTTACTGAACATTACTGTAGAGGGTACAACACCCTTCTTTGTATCCCCCTCTCTTATTTCCTAGACTCTCTTTTCTCTCGACATTCCCGCCTACCTCCTAGATCTAATCTCACGCCATTTCCATGGCTCCCCCCATTCCTACCTAGTCTAATTTTACAACATGGTATCAGAGCAGGACGCCCGTCCTGGGCCTGCTCCCCTCCTCGCTTCCGCTGCATTCTCGTTCCCTGTTCGCCGCCGTCGCGGCCTTCCTACTGCCTGCCGCCGTGGCACCTTTTCCAAGATGCCGCGGCGGCCTTTGTGTGATGTCGTCCCAGCGTCGACGAGCAGCCGCGGCTCCGACGCCACGCAGTGGTGGCGTCGTCGTGGTGCCGCGGCCGTGACGTCGGCCTGTTGCCGTCGCGCACGACCTGCGTCGCTGCTGGAATTGCAGCCCGCCGCCTGACTCTCGCCGGTCGTCCCCCTGTCGCGAAGTATGGACACGCCGCCGGAAGGGCGGGGGCCGCTGCCGTTACCGCCGTCGTAAGCCGAAGCCGTCGCCGTCGCCGCTGTCGTCGCCGCAGGCCTGTTGCCGCCGCACGCCCGTCGTCGCCGTCGCTGTCGCTGCTGCCGGGACTGCCGCCGTCGCCATCTCCAGGGCCTTGGGGTTGGCCCAGCTGGAGTAGACGTGGCTGATGGGAATGGGGGTGCTAGGTTAGGGGGTGTGGGGGTGTGTGGATCCTTGCTACCAAGCCTAGGGGGTGTGTTAAATTATATATGTTAGTATATAGTTGTAGACTTGGTAGCGGTTACTGAACATTACTGTAGAGGGTACAACACCCCTCTTTGTATCCCGCTCTCTTCTTTCCTAGACTCTCTTTTCTCTCGACATTCTCGCCTACCTCCTAGATCTAATCTCACGCCATTTCCATAGCTCCCCCCATTCCTACCTAGTCTAATTTTACAACACCCGCTGCCCGCTGCAAGCTACCCGCTGCCTGCTGGCCGATGCATGCTGCCCGCTGCCCGCGCAGCCCACACAGCCCGCTGCCCGCTGCCCGCTGCCCACTGCCCGCTGCCCGCTGCCCGCTGGCCGATGCACACTGTCCGCTGCCCGCTGCCCGCTGGCCGCTGGCCGCTGGCCGCTGGTCGCTACTCACTGCCTGGGCCGCTGCCCGCTGCCCGCCGGCCGCTGCCCGCTGCCCGCTGCCCGCCGGCCGCTGCCCGCCGGCCGCTGCCCGCTGGCCGTTGGCGCTGGCCTCTGCCCGCTGGCCGCTGGCCGCTGGCCGCTGTCCGCTGCCCGCTGCCCGCTGACCGCTGCCCGCTGTCAGCTGGCCGCTGGCCGCTGCCCGCTGCCCGCTGCCCACTGGCCGCTGGCTGCTGGCCATTGGCCGCTACTCGCTGCCCGGGCCGCTGCCCGCTGCCCGCTGCACGCTGGCCGCTGGCCGCTTGCCTCTGGCCGCCGGCCGCTGCGCGCTGGCCGCTGGCCGCTGGCCACTTCTCGCTGGCCGCTGGCCGCTGACCGCTGGCCGCTGGCCGCTGGCCGCTGCCCGCTGTCCGCTGCCCGCTGCCCGCTGCGCGCTGGCCGCTGCCCGCTGCCCGCCGCCCACTGGCTGCTGGCCCGTGCCCACCTCCCGCTGGCCGCTGCCCGGTGCCCGCTGCCCGGTGCCCGCTGTCCGCTGCCCGCTGGCCGCTGCCCGCGCTGCCCACTGCCCGCTGGCTGCTAGCCCCTGACCGCTGCCCGTGCTGCCCGCTGCCCGCTGGCCTCTGGCCGCCGACCGCTGTGCGCCGGCCGCTGCGCGCTGGCCGCTGAGCGTTGGCCGCTGCCCGCTGGCCGCTGGCCGCTGGCCGCTGCCCGCTGCCCGCTGCCCGCTGGCTGCTGGCCTCTGCCTGCTGGCTGCTTCCCTCTGCCCACTGGTCGCTGCCCGCTGCCCGCTGCCAGCTGCCAGCTGCTCGCTGCCCGCTGCCAGCTGCCAGCTGCTCGCTGCCCGCTGCCCGCTGCCCGCTGGCCACTGGCTGCTGGCCGCTGGCCGCTGGCCGCTGGCTGCTGGCCGTTGCCCGCTGGCCACTGCCCGCTGGCCGCTGCCCACTGGCCACTGCCCACGCTGGCCACTGCCTGATGCCCGCTGCCCGCTGCCCACGCTGCCCGCTGCCCCCTGGTCGCTGGCCGCTTCCTCTGGCCGCCGGCCGCTGCGCACTGGCCGCTGGCCGCTTCCCGCTGGCCGCTGGCCACTTCCCGCTGGCTGCTGGCCGCTGGTCGCTTCCTGCTGGCCACTGCCCGCCGGCCGCTGGCCGCTGCCCGCGCTGCCTGCCTGCTGGCCTCTGGCCGCCGCTGCGCGCTGGCCGTTGCGAGCTGCCTGCTGCCCGCTGGCCGCTTCCCGCTGCCTGCTGGCCGCTTGCCGCTTCCCGCTGCCCACTGGCCGCTGCCCGCTGCCCGCTGGCCACTGGCCGCTACCCGCTGCCCGCTGTCCTCTGCCCGCTGGCCGCTGGCCGCTGGCCACTGCCCGCTGCCCGTTAGCCACTGCCCGCTGGCCACTGCCCGCTGCCCGCTAGGCACTGCCCGCTGCCAGCGGCCCGCTGGCCGCTGCCCACTTCCCGCTGCCCGCTGCCCGCTTCTCACTGGCCACGCTCGCACTGCCCCCTGCCTGCTGCTCGCTGCCCGCTGGCCGCGCTGGCCGCTGGCCGAGTGCCGAGTGAATGAACCCATGGCCGAGTGAATGACCCCCTGGCCGAGTGCTGAGTGAATGACCCCCTGGCCGAGTGCCGGGTGAATGACCCCATGGCCGAGTGAATGACCTCATGGCCGATTGGACGACCCCATGGCCGAGTGAATGACCCCATGGTCGAGTGAATGACCCATGGTCGGGTGAACAACCCCATGGCCGAGTGAATGACCCCATGGTCAAGTGAATGACCCATGGTCGAGGTGAATGACCCCATAGCCGAATAAATGACCCATGGTCGAGTGAAACCATGGTCGAGTGAATGACCCCATGGTAATGTTGGACAAAAAGTACGAGGCGGCCTTTCCAGCCCACTGTGCAAGGGTTCGGGCACTTCCTGCTCGGAGATAGACCCTTCCGGTGTCACAACCGCAAGGCAAGGCTGGAGGGAGGAAGGAGGAGTTTGGGGAGTATTGGGACCTAGTATAGCCGCTCTTGATTGGGGGAGAGAGGGGGTAGAAGAGATCAGATGGTGAGCACTTGGCGATAGGTTGGATAAGTGAGGGGCCCCCAACCAAGTAAGAGGGGAGGGGAGTGGAGTGCGGAGAGGGGGTGGGGGGGAGAAAGGGAAAGGCGGCATTATACAATGAAGGGAATGCTATGCTATTTATTCTCTTCAACACGCGCTTCACTACCTGCTGATGACACTGTTCAGAAAGTCGGCAAAGTCGTGTTTTAGCTGTGTCTCACCAGGCTGCTAGTTACACAGGACAAAGGGCAATGACTTCTGCACTCGTATGGTAATATATTTCAACTCACATCTATAGAAAGAAGGTGCAAGCGTGTAGCCCCAATTTTGGAATAAAGCACGACAATGTCATGAGGTGTCTACGAACAAACACACCATGTGACCTTGCTTGCTACAGTACCTGGCATCGCATTAGCATGGCCCTTGCAGCCCTGCTGGCTCGACGATTCATAGCATTCCATGCCATGGCACAACATGGTCTCATAGTAACAGATTAGATAGAATGATGAGGTACAAGGGAATATAACCTAAGGTGTTGTACTCTCTATGAGCATGCATCTATCTAGCCTATAACATATACAAAATACATGTTGACACACCCCCTAGGCTAGACAAGGGGCAACGACTAGCACGAGACACACAGCTGAGGGTGGTACCACTAATCCAACTTCTGAGGCAAGGGTCCGAAGACCAGTCAGCAAGAGGACAAACTAAACAAAAATAACCCAGGGCAACACTACTAGTCCAGCCACTAGAGAAGGAGCCACAAGGCCAGTTTAGGGAATATAAAATACAGTACACAATCAAGGTCCTAGCAAGTGAGAAGCTACAGGAACTAGACCAAGCTGTACACAGTGCCACTGATAATCTTTAGGCGCAAGCGCCTTAGTGAACTACGCGGGCCTGGCGTCGCTACTGTAGCTCGCGCAGGAGGAAGTACCGCAGCTGGATGTGCTTCGCTCTGCCCTCTAGTCGAGGCTCCTGACACAGGAGGATCATGGCCGTGTTGTCAGCATATAGGACCGGGCAGAGCTAGGCCGCTCACCTAAGTCCGTGAGCAAAAAGGTCAGCCAGCGGAGCTCCTGTGCCGCCATGGCACTGGCGTAGATCTCAGGCTCATAGCTAGACAGGAAAACAGACGACGAGTGAGTGGACCTCCACGAGATAGCACCTGCACCAAGGCTAAAGCAGTAGCTCTGGGAGGACCTGAGCATCTCAGCGTCGTCTGCCCACGAAGCATCTGTGTGCCCTGTAAGGACCACTGGCCTGCGTCCTCCTAGCACTAGCCTCATGCCCTATATACTTAATAGATAACGCAAAAGCGTGTCGTGCCACTCTTGAGGCGCCTGCCGCAGGCCGTCAACCGGGCGCCAGAGGAGCCACTGGGTCCCCGGGGCGAAGGTGCTGGTGAAGTCTGGTGGGTGACGCAGGTAGACCTGCTCGTGAAGACTGCCCTGAAGAAACGCTGTCGAGAAGTCGAGAGAGTGCAGCCCGTAGTCCCGATGTGCTGCTACGTGTAGCAGTGCCCGAAGAGTAGTTATCTTTAGGGTCTGGGCGAAGGTCTGAAAGAAGTCAACACCCTCGCGCTGATTGAAGCCTCTAGCAACGTAGCACGCCTTGAACTCCGGCGGCTCTCCAGGAGGGGCTACCGGGGGAGTGGGGACTAGGAACAGGGGCAGGGTAACCGGGAGACCTCGGTGGGGAAATCGGGTGTAGAAAGAGACAGACTCGTCAAATGTGACGTCGCGGGAGTGAAAAAAACGGTGAGACGGCGTGTGGTAAAAGTGTCAGTGAGACGCGTCGAGGGGGGAACCAAGGAAGACACAAGGGACGGTGCGGGCAGTCAACTTGTCCGTGCCAGAGGCACGAACATGAGCAAGGCAGCCCTAGATGTGGAATGTAGCCGTGTCACTAGGGAACCCGGTCCAGAGAAGAGTCAGCGAAACCTGCGGCCGCTGGGAGTAAGGTTACAGGTTAAGCACGTGAGTGGTGTAGCAAACAACGAATGGCTATAGAAAATGGGGTGCACCGGCATGGATCATGGAGGTACGAGCCACCTCCATGACCAAACCCATGCATCGCTCAGCGACCCCATTCTATTGCGGGGAGTCCGATATGGTGTACGACTGGGTGATGCCCTCCGCACGACAGAACTGGCCAAGCTGACCGGAGGCGAACTCGCCGCCATGGTCAGAGTGGAGACTCAGCACAGGAAGGCCGCGGTGGACTCGCGCAACTATGACCCACGAGATATGGGCGTCAGGCACATCGGCCTTCCGCTCCAAGGGAAACACCGTGGTGTAGCGCCTAGAGTCATCGATAAGCACTAGAAAGTAGAGCTCGTGACGCAGCTCAGGGACAGGGCCGGGACCCCAAACGTCTAGGTGCAGGGTCTGGAATAGCGCAGTGGTAGGGGGGAGCGATGAGGAATAGGGAGCACAGCGCAGCCGGCCCTTGACGCAGGGTGTGCACGACAACGCAAGAAATGGAGGGAGGGCAGGGAGCGACGAGCAGTGAAGGGTGGGTGAGTGACCGACACGAGCAGGCTGCAGCTACCTGGGAGGACGCGACGACCTGGGGGGATGCTCCGGCTAGGGGGGATGCAGTGTCCAGCGTGAATAGGCCTGACACGGGGTCTCGGGGGAACGTGGTAAGAGGGGCACCAGTGGCGGCCTCGACCAAAGCCGAGACGGTAGAGGTCGTCGAGGCGGCGGTAGCGGCGGGCGGCGGTGTGACCTGGACGGTCGCAGACGGTGCCGCGGCGAGGGCCGGTCTGAAGCTGGTAATGGCAGGTGGCCATACTGGAGCCGCCACCCAACACCGAGCTGCACGAGCCACCACCACGACCACCACCGCCAGTGCCACCAGGCCACCATAGCGGCGGGGGTCCCCACGGCGGCTGCTGCTGCTGCTGAGGCTGTTGTTGCTGCTGCTGCTACTTTGGGGCACCAGCCTCGTTCTCATCATCTGCACCACCGTCCCCACCCCCACCTCCACCACCCCCACCACCCTTCTCTCCGCCACGCCCTCCTTTCGGGCGGCGCCCCCTACCCTGACGCTGCTGCGCTGAGGCCGCGGCGGCGGTCTCAGCAGCCGGGGCTGTCTCAGCAATAGCGACAGAAACGTCAGAGTAAGTGCAATGGGAGGGAGCACAACCCTGGAAGATAGGGACCGGCGCAGTACCGCTAGACTGAGCGATAGTGCGCTGGCGGGTCCCTATCGTGGACAGGGTGGTGACAAAGGCAGTAAGGGTGAGGTCACCTAGGTGCCGGCTAAGGAAGTGGTCGCGGGTAGTGGCTAGGCGGTTAGGGAGGCGCGTGGCTAGGAGGTAAATGGTAGCGCAGAGCGGTGGGGGAAAGGCAGTAAGTTGTGCCTCAGTGCTAGCGGCGAGGTAGCTAGTCTCCAGTGCGTGGAGGTGCGTGGCAAGGTCAGCGACAGTGGGGAAGGACGCAAGGTCAGGGAACTGCATGGGGAGGATTAGGCGGCCGGCAGAGGCGGAGGCGGGGGTGGAATAGCGCGCGATGACGGCATCGAAGTAGTCCTTGGCGTTTGCTACTGCGGTAAAGCGGGGACGATTTGACAGGGGGAGGGCGTGGCTAATGGCAAGCTGAGCAACAGCGTCGCGCGAGTCCCAGACAGCGCAGGCAAGCTCGGCGGCGACAAAAGCCTCATGCTCAGTAGACGTGGGGGCGTCTGGGAGGGCAGCAGGCAGGGCGGGGCGAGGGAGCTTACCGTCGACATGGACGGCCAGGGAGTGGCCGTCCTGGTGCTGCCCGATCAGCTGGCGGCGGAGGTCGACGAGCCACGCCTCAAACCCAACGGCCCGACCCTCCGCGTCCAGGCGGAGCAGTGAGTCCGCCATCACCACGGTTGCAGCAACTGATTGCCGCTGACAAGGGGAGGAGGGCAAACAGAGGAGGGCGGTGGAGTGCGGTGGAGTGCAGTGGGGAGTGGTGGAGGACGGTGGAGTGCGGTAGAGATTGCCGGTGAGAGCGCCGGCTCAAAGGGGAAGCCAAGGCCGGCTGGCGGCTATGGATGTCCGACAACGACGGGCAGGCGGCTACAGGCGGGCCAGCGGCGGCGGGCGGGCGGGCTGGCGGCAACGGGCGGCCAGCAGCGGCAGGCGGTTGGTGGCAGCGGGCGGCCAGCGGCGACGGGCAGCGGGTAGCCAGCGGCGACGGGTGGTTGGCGGCAGCAAGCGGCTGGTGGCGACAGGCGGTCAGCGGCTACGGGCGGCTGGCGGCAGCGGGCAGCCAGCGGCGACGGGCGGCTGGCGGCAGCGGGCGGCTGGCGGCGACGAGCGACCAGCAGCGACGGGCAGCCAGCGGCGATAGGCGGCCAGCGGCTACAGGCAGACAATCGGCAATGGGCGGCCAGCGGCGATGAGCGACGGGCGGCCAGCGGGATACGGGCAATGGGCGGCCAGCGGGCTACGGGCGACGGGGGCCAGCGGGCGACAAGTTAACGGCTACTACGGTCAGCTGGGAACAGGCGGCTAGTGACGGGCAGCGCGGGCTAAGGCTAGGACTAGGGCGGAAGCGCAGGTAGGCGGGATCCTAACCTTCTAGCGTGATACCATCTCAGAGTAACAAATTGAATAGAATGATGAGGTACAAGGGAATATAACATTAGGTGTTGTACTCTCTATGAGCATGCACCTATCCAGCCTGTAACATATACAAAATACATGTTGACACATGGCGCCACACAGTAGACTACCACCTTGTTGACTACACCAATCAATGACACAACACACGGTGGCATGCACAGCATAACACCCATGCCAAACACAACACCACCCTCGCTGACACAACACAGATGAACACATCACAGATCCCATCCCATGCCATCCCATCCCGTCCCGTCCCATCCCACCCGATGCCATCTCATGCCCTCATGCATGCACGGGCAGCGCTGCTGCCCTGTGGTCGGCGCCCACGGCATCCTCCACGGACTCGAACCCATCCCGTGCCAGACACTCCGCCAGCTCGCTCTGATGGACGGATGCAGGGAGAGGGAACGGGGGAAGGCGGGGAGTGGTGGAAGGTTGCATGGGCGAATGCACATGGGCGAATGCGCATGGGCGAATGCGCATGGGCGAATGCGCATGGGCGAATGCGCATGGGTGTCCATGCATGCTGAAGCTGCATGCATGCAACATGCATAGAAAAGTCGAGTTGTGTGACATGTGCGCGTGCAGCAGCTCCAACACAGTTCGTCCCGCTAGGCTGCATGCTCAGCTTTGTATCATGCAGCGAGCACCAGCACGAGCACAAGCATGCGCACAAGCATGCGCACAAGCATGAGCACAAGCATAAGCATGCGCACAAGCATGAGCAAGCATACCTTGATTCTGGGCAGCACCCCTGCGCCTTCATACACCATGGACGTGTATATCTGCACCAGCGATGCCCCCGCCCGGATCTTGGCATATGCATCAGCACCACTGACGATGGAGCGAAGAGAAAGGGGGTGGACACACGTGCAGTCAGTGAATAGCACTGAATGTGGATTGGAGACAAGGAAATACAGCCAGGGAGTAAAGAACCCGCGAGGGGGTCAAGCACGTGCGTTAGAGTGGAGAGAAAGTAGTGAGCCAGGAGGAAGTGAGCAGGTAGTGTCCCGGGAAGCCATAGTGTCCCGGGGAGGAAATAGTGTCCCGGAGAAGCATAGTGTCCTGGGGAGGAAATAGTGTCCCGGAGAAGCATAGTGTCCCGAGGAGGAAATAGTGTCCCGGAGAAGCAGAGTGTCCCGGGAAGGAAATAGTTTCCCGGAGAAGCATAGTGTCCTGGGGAGGAAATAGTGTCCCGGAGAAGCATAGTGTCCTGGGGAGGAAATAGTGTCCCGGAGAAGCATAGTGTCCCGGGGAGGAAATAGTGTCCCGGGGAAGCATGGAGATGTGTGCCTAGAGATTGTTCGATGTGGTATTTATGGAGCATGGGCAGCAGTGGGAAGCAGTGGGAAGCGGGCAGCGTTGATACCAATCCTTGTAACCATTTTGGTGGCATGGCACCGAGTGGGGCAAACAACGGGTCTGGATTGCCATGCCATGTGCTTGGCTACAATCATCTGAGCAAAGGTCCGAGATGGCAAGGCGTTCATACCTGAAAATGCCTCCACATCCTATTAGCGTGATCCGGCCCTGCAGTGAGGAGTGGCGGGGCGGACATACACACACGAGAGACTGGAGTATCGACAAGTGATGGGAGGACTGTTTGTGGCATGTGGCTGCTTGTGAGGCATGCCTTGTTGTGACACAGGAAAAGGCAGAGGGACTAGTGGTAGGAGATGAGTGACAGAAGGCAAGACCGCAAACAACCGAGTTACAAAGGCCAGGTATGCACGTGCGTGGACGCTGCTGGGTTTGGTAGGTCAATACCAGCCTCTGCGGGGCGGTACCTTTTTGGGGCGGTACCTTGGTGGGGCAGTACCTTGGTGGGGCGGTGCCTTGGTGAGGCGGTACCTCGGTGAGGTGGTACCTTGGTGAGGCGGTACCTTGGTGAGGCAGTACCTTGGTGAGGCGGTACCTTGGTGAGGCGGTACCTTGGTGAGGCGGTACATCTCGCTGAGCGTGTGTGTGGAGGGCTCCAGCAGCGGGCGGCCGCTGAGGCCCCCCGGCTCGTCCGCGTGCAGCAGCCCAAGCACACTGTCCGGCCGCGACACCGTGGTGTTGCCCACAATCTTATGGGCGGGAAAAGGTGGGGGGATGAAGGGGAAAATAGCCGGAAAGTGGGGGGTGATGCGAAGAAAGGAGGGCACGGACTGTGGGAGAAGAGGAGAGAGAGGGGGTAAGAGGGGGTGTGGCAGGGGATGTTCTGGAGAGACAGGAAGGGAAGCTGATAGCAGTGAGCAGCCAGCATGTGAATGCAGCAGCTCGTTTACTTGTTCTAAGGAGAGAAGGAGGCAGCAAGCTAAGGCAACGTATGAGGTAAAGGAGCGGAAGAGAGAGGAGGAGGAGGGGAGGGAGAGAGTGCACTGACCAGGCCATCGAGCTTGAGGGAGAGCGCAACCTGCAAGGAGGGAGGGAGAGGGGGGCGGTAGGAAGAAGGACAGGTCCGCATGCAGATGGTGTGAACAGAAGTAGGACTGGGAGTACGACTGGAGTAGGAAACTCGGCCATGGGCTTAATAGGCCATGGGGTACGTAACTCTGCCATGAGGCAAGTTACTAGGCCATGAGGCAAGTTACTCGGCCATGAGGCAAGTTACTCGGCCATGAGGTAAGTAGCTCGGCCATGACGTGAGTTACTCGGCCATGATGTAAGTAACTCGGCCATGAGGTAAGTAACTCGGCCATGGGGTAAGTATCTCGGCCATGGGGTAAGTAACTCGGCCATCGGCCATGAGGTAAGTAACTCGGCCATGAGGTGAGTTACTCGGCCATGAGGTAAGTAACTCGGCCATGAGGTAAATTACTCGGCCATGAGGTGAGTTACTTGGCCATGATGTAAGTTACTCGGCCATGAGGTAAATAACTCGGCCATGAGGTAAGTAACTCGGCAATGGGGTAAGTAACTCTGCCATGGGGGCAGTAACTCGGCCATGGCGTAAATTACTCGGCCTGGGGTAAATAACTCGGCCATGGGTAAATTACTCGGCCTGGGGTAAATTACTCGGCCATGAGGTAAGTAACTCGGCCATGGGAAAAGTAACTCGGCCATGGGGTAAGTTACTCGGCCATGAGGTAAGTTACTCGGCCATATGGGGTAAGTTACTCGGCCATGAGGTGAGTTACTCGGCCATGAGGTAAGTTACTTCGCCACGAGGTAAGTAACTCGGCCATGGGGTAAGTAACTCGCCCATGGGGTAAGTTACTCGGCCATGAGGCAAGTTACTCGACCATGGGGTTGCAGAAAGAGGAGCAGGTAGAAATTGCAGAAGAATGAGAGTGTGTGTGGAGGGGAAGCGAAAGGGAAAGAGGCTCACAGCGGCGATGTCTGCCATGTCCTGCTGTGAGAGGTCAGGGGAGATCTTGAGCAGCAGCGGCGGAGGGCCCTCCTCGCCCCACTGCATCTCCTCGCGGGCTGCCAACACCTGGTGGGCAGCAGGGGTAGATGAACGCAGGTACGTGGGGAGGCGAGCAGGCGAGCAGGCGCACAGGTGGGCAGGTGGGCAAGTGAGGAGGTGAGTAGGTTAGCATAAGGCACGCAGGGCAGAAGAGAGCAGGGTCCGAGCCAGCAAACCTTCTTCAGGAGCCCGTGGAGGTGGCGACGCCCCTGCAATTTCCGCAGCCCGGGCGTGTTGGGCGACGACACGTTCACCACCAGGAAGTCAGCATACTGCGCCAGGGTATGCATGCCCTGCACAAAGTCCTCCGCCGCGTCGTCCGTCCACTTGTTCTTCCCCAGGTTCACCCCCACCAGTCCGCGCCTGCCCGCGCGTGCCACCGCTGCTGCGCGGTCCTTGCCGGTCTTGAGCCCCTCGGGCTTCTCGACCGCCCGCCGCCTGCCCTGCTGCGCACCGAGGCGCTCTGCCACTGCTGCTATGCCCTCACTGTTGAACCCGTAGCGATTGATCACCGCCCTGGGGGAGGAATGCGGGGGCGGGGGAAAGGGGGGAGGGTGTGGGGGGGGGCGGGAGAGGGGGAGGGGGGAGTGCAAAGGGGGAAGATGAGGACAGAGTTAGGAAGAGGAATCGGGGCATGGACCGCAGCAGGTGTGGCAGCTTGTGATGTAGGGACACAAACACACAACAACACGCACCACATACAACCTCACCCACCCACACACCCACTCACCCACCCACACACCCACCCACCCACCCACGCTCCGGAATGCGCCAGCAGCGCGGCTTGGGGTTCCCGGGCTGCGGTGCAGGCGTGACACTGCCAATCTCCATGAACCCAAACCCCATGCCCAGCAGCCCGTCGATCGCCCGCCCGTCCTTGTCAAACCCCGCCGCCAGCCCCACGGGGTTGGGGAAGGCGCGGTTCCACAGCGCCACGCAGAGGGACGGCGGGTCGGGGCGGTGCTCGTGGGGGACGAGGCCCAGCTCGGCGGAGAGGAGGGCGAGACGATGGGACACCTCGGGGTCGAGCAGGCGCAGGAAAGGTGTGCAGGCGTCCGCTGCTGTGAAGGACCACTTGCTGGGGGAGGGGGGGAGGGGGGAGGGAGAGAGGGGGGAGAGCAAGGGGGGAGAGTGGGGAGGAGAGTGGGGAGGGAGACGGGGGGGGGAAGTGGGGAGGGAGAGAGGGGAGGGAGGGTGGGGAGGAGGGTGGTGGGGAGGGAGTAGGGGGATGAATGTTGGGAATTGAGACAGCGAGGAGGAGGGTGTGTCGTGGATAGAACATGCAAGGGATACTTTGAGTAGGGCAGAAAGACACACGAAAGGCACAGATTAAAGGCGAAATGCCCAAGGAGACCCGACCAGGAGGGAGGGAACGAAATCCAGGTACAGGGATTAGGGTTTCCAACAAGCCAGGCTTGAACTAGATTGAATTGAACCCATCATCTCCCCATCCGTACCTAATGGTTTGGGGATCCTGCGTGCTGAGCAGCACGCCCACGGTCATGGCAGACCCCATCAGCGTCGCGCCCACCACCCGCGCCTGCCAGGGAAACACAGCAGAGAAGGGGTGTCTATTTTTTATGGAAGAGCTCCGACTACTCCGAACTCACGTTTACATAAGCACTTTTACAGTTTACTGTTTTCTCCTACTTGCTAACCTGTCTACTGACGCCGCGCTCACTGGAAGATGTCCAAGGATCTGGAAACACAGCAGAGCAGGGGGTCTATTTTTTAGGCGCCTCAAGAGCAGGGGGTGACGGCAAAGGGTGTGAGGGGAGAAGGTGGTCGAGGGTGGTGAGTGGAGTCAAGTTGGGAGGGCAGTAGGGGCGGTGTGAGTGGGAGAGGTATGCATGCGGCCAGTCAGCAGAGGCGCATACCCAGTGCGTTTTCGGTTTGCTTGCGGTGGCTGAAGCGCCTCTCTTCGCCCCGCCAGCGCCAGCCGCGGCAGCAGAGAAGGAAGAGATTGCTCTCAGGTGCATGGGGATGGCAGGGGTGGTGGTGGCGGTGGTGGCGGAGACGGTGGTTTTGGCAGAGGTGGTGAGAGCGGCCATGGTATGAGCGGCGTTGTTCGCTGCACCGAAACACCCAGCCACGTATCTTAGTCGCTGTTCGTGCACCAGGCCGGGCCACGCGCCTGTCAGCAGCAGTGTATTCGAGCCCCTCGCGAATGCTAGTGTCGCCGCCGACGATGAAAGTGCTGCTGCCACTGGCACTCCCGACAATGCACCACACGCCGCAAACTCCCCCCTAGCTGCTGCTGCTGCGGCCGCCGTTGCATGTGCTGCGCCGCGTGTACCAATCACATCGCAGCACGCGGCTCTAGATCCAAGCGCGCACGCTGCCCCTGCTCCTCCGCCTGCTGCAGCAACCTCTGCTGAGGTTGTCGTCGCCGTTGCCGACGCTATCACAGTCGTGGTTGCCGCTTCTCCCACCCTTGCCCCCAGACACCTGCCCGCGCCTACTGCTGCTGTCGCGGCTTCTCGCAACGCGCCCTCGCGGCCTGCCACGTGACGATGCACCAGCGCCGCTGCGCGCCTCGCCACCACCCGCGCGTCCGCGCGCGCCATCTGCGGCTCGTCCGCTGCTGCGAGCGAGGAGGAGGCTGCTGCGATTAGGACTAATGCGACTACTTAATCGCTTCAGAGCTCTCCCCGACGAAGGTGGAGAGGATTCGAAAGCGCGCGCGTGCGGAAGGGAGCAATCGGAGCGAAGCAGGCGGATCGGGAGTCAGGAGTCGGGGCGTAAGGTAGGGGTTTTGAAAGGAGTGAAACTTGCTAGGCGCGGCTGGCGTGCGGTGCCGGGCGCGTCATTGGAGCAGCTGGTCGCACGATCGGCTGCGGCGACGAGATCGGCGACGGGATAGGCGACGGAAGGGCGATGGGATAGGCGATGGAATAGGCGATGGGATAGGCGACGGAATAGGCGTCGGGATCGGCTGGCGACAGTATTCGCGCGAGTGGCAGGCTGCTTTGGGCCCAGACTGGAGGGTCATCTTCCGTGGAAGGGAAAAAGAGCAGCGGAACAAACCAACCAGCTGCCAGTGCCAGCCCTTGCCAGAACAAAGAGACCTTCCTCGATCGTCCCACCTGATTGGATGCGAAGCGAAATGGCGAGACTTGCTCTGGTTTCGCTTCGTCCCGCCCTTTCTACTGGAGGCTGGAAGACGCGGCGAAAATTAATGAAACCTGGTTTCCGGGCTGCGTTGACCCTGGAAAAGCTACAAATGTTATAATCCTTTGCATCCCTCCTAACCTGAACGGAATTTGTGCGCCCTCCCAGCATCATCCATTGCTATTTTCCCTCCGCCCTGCCTGCCTTGGTTGAATTCACCTATCCGAGCTATGTCCATATGATTCACCTCCGTTCGCCCTTCCTGCCTCCTCGCTCTCTCCTTCGCGCATCTCACCTCCCGTCCCGCACGACAATTCCCACTCCCGCACCTCTCTCCACCCTCACCAAATCCCCCGCCCGCCTATCCCTCCCCGCAATTCCTGCTTCGTCTCCTCGTCCGCCGTGCCACGCGTCGTGCACTACCTTCGCCAGTAGACTGCCCCTGTCGACGCGTCCTCCGCGTGCACTCGCCGCGTCTCGTCGTTCGGAAGATCGTTCAAGGCGTCTTGAGACACGACCCTCCAGCTCGGATAGTGTCGCCGCCGAATTCGCGAGTGTAGACATGGCCACGTCGCGAGTGCTGAAGGAGATTTCTCCGGCCGTGACGAAGATCGGGTAACCGTCACTTATAGTTCTCCGCGAATTCGGCGTTTCGCAGCTGTCGCCGTTATCCTCTTTCGCACCGTTCGCCCGTTCGTGCCGCTTACCTGACACAGAACTGCCTCCTCTTCTTCCTGCCGTTTTCGCACTGGGAGAGTGGATGGGTGGATGAGTGGATGGGTGGATGGGTGGATGGGTGGATGGGTGGATGGGAAAGGGTGAGTGCTGGCGAGCGATGTGATGAATATGGTGGGAGTGGCATGATGGGCGGAATGGGTGGATGGAACGGGTGGTACTATGGTGGGTGTGCAGGTGGATCGGCACGGGAGTGATGGGAGCTGCCATGTGCGGGCATCTGCAGGCTGCAGGCTATGCCGTGAGCGTCTTCAACAGAACTCCCAGGTATCGTTGCTCGCTCCACCCTGCGGGCTTGCCCCCCTGCGGTTCACCCCTCGTGCAAGCCCCCTTCCCGCCATCCCTGTCCGATCACCCATCACCCACCACCCATCACCCACCACCCATCACCCACTACCCATCACCCACCACCCATCATCACTCACTGCACCACCCAATGCGCGCCATGCCCCTGTGCGCCATGGCAGCAAGGCAGCAGCGCTGGTGGGGCGCGGGGCGGTGCTGTGCGAGTCGCCGGCTGCTGTGGCCGCCAACTCCGACGTCGTCTTCAGCATCGTCGGGTGAGCCCACGCCCTGTCCCATGCGTTGCCGTGCTGTGCTGTGCTGTGCTGTGCGGTGCTATGCGGTGCCATGCTGTGACATGAGTCATATGCTCTTTGCCATGTATGCTGCATGTTCCCATCTCCTTCAAGGATTTCCTGTCTTCCTTTTCTCTGCCTTGCACGTGTCCTCTGCCCCTGCCAGGTACCCTCACGATGTGCGAGAGGTGGTGTTGGGGTCAGCAGGCGTTCTCTCCTCCCTCAGACCAGGAAGCATTGTGAGACGCTGAGCATGGGAGAGAGGATATGGGCGTGGGAGGGAGGATATGGGCGTGGGAGGGAGGATATGGGCGTGGGAGGGAGGATATGGGCGTGGGAGGGAGGATATGGGCGTGGGAGGGAGGATATGGGCGTGGGAGGGAGGATATGGGCGTGGGAGGGAGGAGGTGGCATATTTCATGACACCGAATCTTCCCATTCCCACCCCTCCATTTCCCCCCTTCTTGTTCTCATCCGCCTCTCACCTTTCTCCCTTGCCTCTTCCCCACCCCCTCCCCCCCGCCATCATCCCCTGCCCCTCCCTCGCCCTCCCCCTCTTCTATCTAGCTCGTGGACATGAGCACGAGCCAGCCGTCATTGGCCAGGGAGATAGCAGCCGCGGCAGAGGCCAGGTGAGCTTTTGAGTCGACTTAAAACCAGCCGTCATTAGCCAGAGAGATAGCAGCAGCAGCTGAGGCCAGGTGAGGACGCTGAGAGTGCGTGGTGAGGGAGGGGCATTACCCCTCTTGCTACCCCCCCATGCCACTATCCCCCGTGCCACTACCCCTCTTGCCACTACCCTCCGTGCCACTACCCCCCGTGCCTGCCACTACCCTCCGTGCCACTATCCCCCGTGCCACTACCCTCCGTGCCACTACCCTCCGTGCCACTACCCTCCGTGCCACTACCCTCCGTGCCACTACCCTCCGTTCCACTACCGCCCGGCGCCCGCGCCACTACCCCCGGTGCCACTACCGCCCATGCCACTACCCCCAGTGCCACTACCCCCAGTGCCACTACCCTCCGTGCCACTACCCTCCGTGCCACTACCCCCCGTGCCACTACCCTCCGTGCCACTACCCTGGTAAATCTTTTGGTTTCTGGTGGCTTTTACGGCAGGTGACACATGGCTCTGGTGACACAATGTCAGGGATGGGACACAACAAGGGTTTGAATCTGAATGGTGTCACTGTTCATGCATGCTCGTCTCCATGCATGGTTGCATCTTCTCTGTGTTCTCTGTGTCTTGCGTTTCTCCCCTCACTTCGCCAGGCAGTGCTGGGCGGTGGATGCGCCAGTGTCTGGTGGGGACAAGGGCGCGCGAGAGGCGGCGCTGGCGATCATGGCGGGGGGGGATGAGGCGGTGGTGCGAGCTTTGGAGCCTCTGCTGGCGTGCATGGGGAAGTGCACCTACATGGGGGCTTCAGGGGCGGGGCAGAGCTGCAAGATGGCCAACCAGGTACGCCTGCGCCCACCAGGTGCGCCCACCAGGTGGTGCCTGCTGCTGCTCCCTTTTCCCTTGTGGTCTGCTGCCGCCTTGCCATCCTATTGTAACCGCGTGGTGTTGCCTGCTCTCATCCCGCCACGAGTCTTTCACTGTTCTCCCTTTCGGCCCATCCTCCGCCCTGTGCCTGTGCTTTGCTGGTGTGCTCGTGTGCCTTTGTGCCTGGGTGCATGTGTGCATGTGTGCATGTGTGCCTGTGTGCCTGTGTGCCTGTGTGCCTGTGTGCCTGTGTGCCTGTGTGTGTGTGCATGTTTGCCTGTGTGCCTGTGTGGCTGTGTGTGTGTGCATGTTTGCCTGTGTGCCTGTGTGGCTGTGTGTGTGTGCATGTTTGCCTGTGTGCCTGTGTGGCTGTGTGTGTGTGCATGTTTGCCTGTGTGCCTGTGTGGCTGTGTGTGTGTGCCTGTATGGCTGTGTGCCTGTGTGGCTGTGTGCCTGTGTGTGTGTGAGTGCATGTGCACTGTGAGCAGGTGACGATAGCGAGCACCATGGTGGGGCTGGTGGAGGGGCTGCTGTACGCACACAAGGCAGGCCTGCACATCCCAACGTGAGACAGGGGGGGAGGGAGGGGTGAGGGAGTTTGGGGCCGAGAGGCTGGGGCGGGGAGACAGTGGGCGTGGGAGGTACTGGGTGTTTACCTCCATGGCAGGGTGGCGAATCTGAGCTGTTGCCGCAGCGCGTCCTGGAATCCACAGCTCACGTTCCCAAGGGTTACTTCTGCGCCTCGTGTGTCTCTCTTTCTCTCTTATTCCCCTCTCCCCCTCTCTCCCCCCCTCTCCCTTCCTCTTCCGCCATATTCCCGGCCTGCACACCCGGTCAGCTACCTGTCGGCCATCTCCAAGGGTGCAGCGGGGTCGCGCTCTCTTGACCTCTACGCCAACCGCATTCTCCAACGAGACCTCGACCCAGGTCACACATTGCAGCCCCATTCTTTCTCCAAGAGTGTCATGCCATGCCATGCATGCAGTGTCGTCTCTGTGCTAGTCAACAGCCTGCGCATATTGAATTTAGATTACCCACAGGGTGTGTTCTTGAACCCTGGGGTTACGCTTTTCTACCTCACTTCCCCATCATCATCACCCGGCCCAACATGTGCTCTTATCACCACGTGCCTTAGCATAGCGGCGATAGGAGCAGTGCGTCATCCTGTTTGCAGCACGCAGTGGTGTAGTGACCCACTCGTCTCTGCCTACAGGTTTCTTTGTGAAGCACTTTGTGAAGGACCTGGGCATTGCCCTTGAGGAGTGTCGTGCCATGAACCTCTCCCTTCCGGGCCTCGCCCTGGTAAGCCCATTCACTGCCAGCATCCACTCAGCTCAACCCCTCATGTTCTTGCCACTCCTGCCACTCTTGCTACTTGGGCATTGCCCGTCTCGTCAACCCTTGCCTCTTGCCTCATTTGGCTTTTGATCTTGTTCGTTGTGTGTTGCTGTGTGAGCATGGTCCAGGCCCAGCAGCTCTATGTGTCGCTGCAAGCGCACGGAGATGGGGATTTGGGAACACAAGCCTTGGTGCTAGCTCTAGAGCGGCTCAATAACGTGCAGCTGCCCAAGGCTGCTCCCAACTAGGGTGTGCTGCTCCCAGAGTACTTGTACTGCAGAAAATTGACCGTGGTGCACATTGTACTGCAGTTCTGCATCTTAGCTTCACGTCTAGTCCAACCCCATATGTCGCAAGCTGCCTTTGCCCCATATGTGGCAGTCCCTACTTTTGGGTGGGCTCCCATTTTGGAACCCCTGAACACAGCCCATCTTATCAACTTACCCAGCGATATGTCTGGCATGCGCTAGGTGTTAAAATTATATAAGTTATAATTTATATAGGCTTGGTAGGTTGTTACTGAACCTTTCTGTAGGGGGTACAAACCCCTCCTTGTACTCCCCTCTCTTCTAATCCAACATCTTTTCTCTCCTCAACTTTCCTAGCACCTAAAACCTCTCGCCATTCTCATGGCTCCTCCTAGCTCCTAGCTAAACCTTGTGCCATTCTATGGCTTCCTAGCTAAGCTAGTTTCTGACATGGTATTAGAGCAGTTCGTTCCGTGTGGGCCTGCTCCTCGCGTTTCCGCTGCGTGCTCGTTTCTCTCTCTATCTCGCGCTGCCATGGCGGCCGCGTCAAGCTGCTGTGGCCGCGTCGTCGTGCCGCGGCGCCGCTGTCGACGTCCATGGCGCCCGCGTCCAGCTGCTGTGGCCGCGCCGTCGTGCCGCAGCTCCGCCGTCGCGTCAAGTTGCTGTCGCGACGTGACGGCGCCGTCACGCTGTCGCGGCGTCTACGCGACAGCGCGCAGTCGGCGTACCAGCGACGTCGTGCTGCCGTCGCAGCGTCGACGCCCCGCTGCGGCATCGACGCCGCTCCATGACGGCGTCGTCGGGCTGCAGCCGGCCGCGTGACGCTTGTGGCGCCGCTAGACCGGCCGCCCGCATGTCAGCCTGTGGCGCCGCCCCCCCCCCCCCACCCCCCCTCCTTCCCCTGCGCCCTCTTCCATTCCGCAGACGACGGCTGACTCCCGCCGGCCGTCCCACAGTCGCGGGGCCATGCCACGTCACCGAGAGGTGCGGGTGCCGCCGCCGCTGCCGCTGTTGTCGAAGCCGCCGCCGCCGCCGCTGTCGCCGCTTGCGTCGGGGCCACGCAGCCGCACGCCGCCGCCGCCGCCGCTGTCGACACTGCCGCCGCTGCCGCCGTCGCCGCCGCAGCCCCTGCGGTCGACGTCGCCGCCTCACGCGCCGTGGGGTCGACCGACCTAGAGTCGCTGTCACTGTGGCTGGAATGGGGGTGCTAGGTTAGGGGGTGTGGGTGTGTGTGGGTGTGTGACTACCAAGCCTAGGGGGTGTGTTAAAATTATATAAGTTATAATTTATATAGGCTTGGTAGGTTGTTACTGAACCTTTCTGTAGGGGGTACAAACCCCTCCTTGTACTCCCCTCTCTTCTAATCCAACATCTTTTCTCTCCTCAACTTTCCTAGCACCTAAAACCTCTCGCCATTCTCATGGCTCCTCCTAGCTCCTAGCTAAACCTTGTGCCATTCTATGGCTTCCTAGCTAAGCTAGTTTCTGACACTAGGATCCACAATTTCAATATGTACATCATGTCAACTTAAAGCGAGAGACTATAATAGTGACCCCCCTTTCTAGTTGGGCCCAACTGGAAACGACCCAACAGTGAATATGTTTTTGGAGGGGCGGGCAGCAGCCCCTCTTTTTTACCAAGCCGAAGGCCACGAAATTGAATTGTGCTTGCGACATTTCGCACTGGCGACAAAAGTTACGACCAGGGCTTATCTTTGACTTTTCTGAACTCTGATTTTCACCAGTAGCTCATGGGCTAACTCTGAAATCCAGGGTGCCCTGGACCGGAACTCTGATTTGCCAGGGTTTTTGTGCCTTATCAGAAAAAAAACCCTGTCCGCCTAGAATTTGGAAGAGATCTAGAATTTGCCCAGCAAAAAGTATTGTCTCACATCCACATGGCACGGTAACAGAGCAGCATCTCATCAATCATCATCATCATCATCATCATCCTCATATGAACCCTCACTAGCTGCAATCTCCTCATCCGAATCCTCGGCTGCACTCTTGCCTTTGTCGAGGGGAGTCTCATAGGCCACTGTCTTAGCCTGCTTTCGCATCTTCTGTTTCCTCCAGATGTCAACGATCTCGGCGTAGTCCATGTCGTAGTCCAGCATGTTGATCGTCATGAGTTCGCTCAGCCTTGCATCGCAAAAGCTCGTCCGCAGCCACGACTTGATCACGTTCTGTCTGCTGAATCCTCTTTCACACTCCACTGTGCTCAGTGGAAGCACAGCCATGGCCTGCCACAATGCCATCAGGTTGGGATAGCTCTTAGGCCAGTCGCGGGTCTTGAGCATGGCAGCCAGCCCCTGGTTGAAGTCATCATCCGCCCGGTGGTTCTTCATGATGTGAACAAAGGTCTTGAGCTCCAGCTCGGCCGCCCTTTGGTTCACTCCTGGAATTGGGGTTTGGTTGGAATAGAAGCAGAGGACAACGGTTTAGTATCCATCCTAGGGCAAGGCAAACTGACATTTAACAACGAACGATACGGTTGTGTTAACGGAACTACTGACTTACCTGGCAGCTTGTGGTCGAAGAGGGCGACGTTGGATGCGAGCCAGGAGAGATGTCGCCGCTCGCGCACTTCTGCCTTCTTCGGCCAGCACTCAACTTTGAACAGTCCCGCGCCGCCCATCCGCTTCAGATCCCACAGCCTCTGCTCCACATTCGCCACCATGTCTTTGGCGAACGCAGAGCAAAGGTCCTCACAGTCCGACATGCTGCCGCCGAACTTGTGGCCGGGTAGCTTTTCCTCCGAGAGTTCGAATGCGTGCGTGCAGGGACTTCCGTCGTTGTCCATGCCATCGACGACGATGCTGCGTTTGCCGCTGGCATGCCGCTGCAGGAACTTGGTCAGCCTCTTGCTCATCCCCCCCCCGAATGTCGCACCGTACTAGATGTAACGGTGCCGGATGTAGGTGACCGTGCGGTCAACCTCCTGGGACACCAGGGTGATGTCCACCTGACGGAAGGGGCATAGGGCAGGCGGAGGTACAAAATGCAAGGAATTAAACTCACGCACATGACTACCAAGTTAAACACATAGCAAGACTGTGCAACAGTGCAACGAGATACGCCAAACAAAAGTACGTCCCGTTAAAACCACCACTTACAGAGCGCCTCTGAAAGAACCTGTTGAGGGTGTTCATCTCGGCGAGGACGTCAGCGAGGAAGTACAGGCAGTAGTGAAATTTCAGCGTCTTCACAACCGGTGCCAGCTTGTGGTTGTACTCGATGAGGACAACGATCGCCGCTCCGAGAATGCTGCAGAGCCTCTTGATTGCATCGCCACGTGAGAGCCACCGGATAAGGTAGAGTCCTTGATGCTCCAGGTTGGTGTTGTGGATGACCATCTGCAGGTGCTTGAAGCGCTCATACCATGGGGTGGAACGGCCAACAATCTCCCCCAATGCGCGGATGACGGCATCGATGATCTTGAAGTCCGGGAAGGCCGCGGCAGCATCCTTGACAGCCAGGGACTCTCTGCCAACAAAAACAAAACAGAGAGCATCAGCAACTTGACAAGATTTACCTGGAAGGGGCATGTAGCTATGCACGCATGAGCCATTAAAAGCACGTATGGGTGCAACAAACAAACAGCACCTATGGGCGATGCAATGGACGCCCACGAGGTGCGGGATGCGCATTCGTAAGCGAGCCACCAAGCCATGATGCTCGCCTGTCATCACAGAAGCCCCATCCGTACTGATGCCAGAGATCTTCTGGAGATCGACGCCGAGGGTCTCGAGGTGGGAGAGGATGATCGCCTGCAGAGAAGCCGCGTCGCACTTGTCCACGGTCAGCAAAGCTAGGAACTCGGTGACCACTTTCCGCTTCTTCAGAAATGTTGCAAACAGGATCAAGTGCTTCCCCCGCGTTCTGTCGGTGCTTTCGTCACAACTGAGGCCGATGAATGGAGATGCGTGAATATGCGACATCTGTTGCGCCTGCAAGAAAGCCACCATGGCTTTCACCATCTCCTTGAAGCCGTACCTGAATGGGAGTGAGAAAGGCATGCACACAACACTGGTGTTAGTAGTTGGTTAAAGAGGATCACAAAATCCAAAGGTTATAGGAAAACCCGAAAGAGAAGCAGTACAAGGGGATTAATAAACTTACTGTGTTATGTAGACACCGTAGCTCTGCTTAGGAACGTCCTTCACCCCTTCATGCGCCATGAAGCCCACGAGGCGGGTGAACATGCTGATGGGCGCATCTTCCTTGCAGATGAATAACATGGCGCGGAGTAGCCGAATGATGCGCGCTCCCTCTGGGTCATTCGCAACAAAGTCTTCCATCCTCTTCTGGTTCTCCACTTCTGTCAGCAGGTGTTGTTGCTTCCTCACCGCGTCTTCATGCTTCTGACTCTCCTGGTGCCAGCGCATCGAGCCGACTTGCAGATCCCGACCGCCACTGCCCTCACGCCCGTATCTTGCATGCACTGCACCATGCTCCATGCAAACACTGCAACGCAAGCACGGGATTCCGTCGTCATTTTTATCAAGGACCAGCCATGGGAATTTCGGGAGCCAATCATTGGTGTACTTATGTTGCGCCTTTTCGTATGCCCTCGCCGTCTTCTCCGCAACTGTCGGTTTCGCTGACGGTGCAGTGACACGCTCCGGCGGTGGCGGAGTGGGGGGCTTAGGAGGAGGCGGTGCAAATGGCAGGTGTGATTGCTCATAGCGGTGCCTCTTTTTCGACGTCACGGCGACCGATGTAGTCGTGGCGGGAGGAGTAGCAGCAGGGGTTGATGTGGCGGGACGAGTGGCAGCTGGGGTTGATGTGGCGGGACGAGTGGCAGCTGGGGTTGTCGTGGCGGGACGAGTGGCAGGCGGGGCCTTGGATGGCGAGTCAACCAGCTCAGTCACATCGTCCTGATTGCGCTCCCACTCTTCACTGCTGAGAGATGGAAGGGGGTTCGAGTACACAGGAGCGGCATGTGCACGACGAAGGAAATCGAGGCCTCTGAGGGGAGCGACCCTAACAAAACGCTCAGCGCTATGGTCGTCCTCCCCCCCATCGTCCTCGTCATCAGAACTACACATGACGGGCTCTGGTGGGAAAGTGGCTGCAAACAGGACTACCTCAGGGGAGATTGATACGCTCTGGTAGTTGTGAGAGGGGTACTCTCTCTTGCGTGGAGCAAGAGAGAGTTGGAGGGGAACTCGGTTTCCTGCAGCAAGCAGCAGAATGGATGAACGAAGGGAGGGACAAGCTGGTCTTGACTTGAGGTGATCGACAATGCGCTACTAGCTGTATGGTGCATGCGTGAGTAGCATCATTGCTACCCGCAGCCTAGCGTGCTGTCGATGTGCTGGCTGCTGTACCAAGCCAGGAAATGCCTAAGGCATGCAGCAATCATCCAGCGGTGACAACTTCAGCTGCCGCACGCGGTTGTGCTGCTGATGCCACGCGAGAAAATGCCCAAGTGTCCAATGGGCACCGAGGAATCTTCCAACGGCAGGAAGTTTGGCAGCAAATGGCGAACAGTCAGCGGGCGGCTCGCGTGAAACCACCCAGGAATCCAGGCCACGCGTATGTGTGTCTATAGGGAGTACAGGTAATATCCGGGGGTATGCCCCCTATATGAATACCCACAGGGTGATACATACACCAACTCTGATAAATCAGAGAAAAGAGAACTTTCAAAAAAATTACCCAGGACCATCAGAGTGACTTCCAAAAACGACTCTGATTTTCAGAGAAACAGAGTGATTTACTCTGATAAAATAAGCCCTGGTTACGACCATAGATTTGCGTGCTTAGCATTTCGACCAATCGGGGCCCAGCCTCAGTTTTGTTGGAGTAGTGAACACGGGTCCAACTTGAAATTCAAGTTGGGCCCACTTGGTGCAGCTTACAGGTAGTGGGGGCTGGGCGACAGGTGGTGCGCTGCTTGCGATTTTGCCCGAGCCATTTTCCCCACAGTACGTTATGTTTTCCCCGCCAACCAATCAGGTAACTGCATCTTCTCGCCCAGTTTCCCCTGCTTGCATTTCTCGATAGTGTACCCACTGCCCCGTCGCAGTTTTGTCCCTTAGTCGCAAAAACGGACGTCTGGGCCTTTTCAAGTTGGACCTGCCTTCACTATTTTGACCTCTCGCTTTAAACATATATTGTTAATAGAGGTTATATGCTAGATAGGGTATGTTCTTAGTGGGTACAAACCAAAACGCTATATCTCCCCTGTTCTCCCCTCTTATAATCATTCTTTATAGTCCTAACATGGTATCACGAGTAGGTAGGTCCACCCACCCCCTTCTGCCCCGTGCCGCCGCCTACCATCCCTCGCTAGACCCAGCCGGCCCCGTCGTGCCCCCAGCAGGCCCCGTGCACCCCTACGGCCCCTCGTACCCCTAGCCGGCCCCGCGCGCCACTACGGCCCCTCGCGCCCCTAGCCGGCCCCGTCGCGCCCCTACCGGCCCCTCGCCCCCTTAGCCGGCCCCGTCGCGCCCCTTCCGGCCACTCGCCCTAGCTAGCCCCTTGTGCCCTAGCCGACCTCGTCACCTGAGCCGCCGAGCCGAGCCGCTGTGTCCCCGAGCCGCCGAGCCGAGCCGCCGAGCACCCAAGCCGCCGAGCCGCTGAGCCGCCGAGCCGCCGAGCTGCCGCGCCGCCGAGCCGTCGTGTCGCTGTGCCGCTGCGCCGATGAGCCGCTGTGCCGCTGTCAAACTGTGCGATGGCAGACGCCGTTCTTCGCTTGGGCGCTGAGGGGCACACGATCGACTTCGCCACTTGGCTCGTCGACCTCCGCCGGCACCTGACAGGTCAGTGCCAGGATGGGCACTCCCTGGCTATGCATGTTGATGGTTTGCTCCCCCGCCCCCCTACGCCCGATCCCCTCCCTGCTGACCCTACCACTGCTCAGAGCGAGGCTTTTGCTGCTGCTGCGCTTGCTCGAGCTGTCTGGGATTCTCGCGACGCCGTAGCACAGCTTGCCATTAGCCATGCCCTTCCCTTGTCTGAGCGTCCGCGCTTCACCGCTGTTGCGAACGCCAAGGACTTTCTCGCTGCGGTAGTTGAGCGTTACTCTACCCCTTCTTCCGCCTCTGCTGGCCGCTTGATCCTACCCCATGCTCTTCCCAAATCTTTCTGCTTTCCCCACTGTAGCTGACCTCGCCACTCACCTCCGTGCACTAGAGACCAACTACCGCGCTGCTAGCTTTGCCGCCCAGATTACTGCCTTCCCTCCACCCTTCTGCGCTACCTTGTACCTCATCGCCATGCGCCTGCCTGACTGCTTAGCCACTGCCCGCGAACACTTCCTTAGTCAGCACCCTGCCGACCTCACCCTGACCGCCTTTGTCATTACTCTGTCTGAGATAGAGACTCGCCAACGCACCATCGCTCAGTCGAGCGGTGTTGCGGCAGTCCCTATCTTTCAGGGCTGTGCCCCCTCCCTGTGCACGTACGCTGACGTCTTCGCCACAGTTTCCACGACTGTGCTTGCACCTGAGACAGCAGCTGTGGCTTTCCTACAGCAGCGCCAGCGTCGGGGCCGCCGTGGCCCCTAGGGAGGATGTGGTAGTTGCGCTAGTGGTGGTGGTGGCGGGGACAGTGTTTCTGAAGAGGGGGTTGGTGCTGATGCCCCGAAGCAGGAGCGGTCGCCGTAGTCGCAGCTACAGCAGTCGCAGCCGCAGCAGCTGCAGCAGTCCCAGTCGCAGCAGCTGCAGCAACCGTCACAGCAGCAGCAGTAGCCGTGGGCTCGTCTCCCGCCCGAGTGGCCAAGAGTCCCTGACGGTGGTGGTCGTGGTGGTGGCCCTCGCAGCTCGGCGTCCACCGACAGCTTCAGTGCTGTGAGCTGCTAGTACCAGCTTCAGACCGGGCCCCTGCGTGGCACGGTGTGCCGCCGCTCGCACCCGACCGCCCGCTGCTTCCGCCGCCTCGACGACCTCTTCCGTCGCCGCTTTGAACCAGCCCCGGACCTCCCTGACTGGCCCAGCCTGCTGCGCCATGGTGTAACTGCGTTTGACTTAGACATGGATTAGATTAGTTATGCCTTGCATTCTCTGTATGCTGACGCTTCGAGTGTTTCCGTATCGTATTACTCTGTGTTCTCTAGCTTAGGCGTAGCACCTATGTGTAGTCCAGACTCCCCTGCTGCGTCAGGCGTAGGACAGCTTGCTTTGTCCTGCCTAGGTTCTACCCTTGCTCCTTCGTCGTCTGCCCCTGGCATCACTATCCCTCAGTCTAGACTCCGGTGCGTCAGCTTGTTTCTTCCGTGACCACGCCGCCCTCACGCCCCTTGCTGCACCTACTGCTGTTGCCCTTGCAGACCCCTCCTCTGGTCCTGTAGTAGCTCGCAGCTACACTACCCTTCGCTGTCCGGCAATTCCCTCGGGTTCCCTTACAGGACTGCACATCCCTTCGTTCTCCAGGAACCTAGTTGGTGTCGGCTGTCTTTAGGACCTCGGTGTTACCACTACGTCCCCTGGTCACGAGTAGTACGCGGTCTGTACCGAGACTGCCTCAGGTGCCCCCCTTGCGATGTTCCCCCGGGACCCTGTGTCTAGCCTGTTTACGCTGAACACTGCTCCCCCCCTTGGCGGGCGAGTCCTCCTCTGGTCCTGCGTCCACCCAGGTAGCTGCGGTTTGCTTGTGTCGGTTGCTCACTCACCCGTCACTGTTGTGGCACCACCGCCTAGGTCACCCCGCGCTCCCCCGCCTGCGTCACATGTCTCAGCACGGTCTAGTCCTTGGCCTCCCTGTGTCGCTCCTTGCTCTCCTTCCCTCGCCTGCGCTGCCGTGCATGCCCTGCGTCGAGGGCCGGCTGCGCTGTGCTCCTCACTCCTACTCACTTCGCCCTGCCACTACACCCCTTCAGACCCTGCACTTGGACATCTGGGGCCCAGCCCCTGTACCTGGACCACGTCGCGAGCGCTACATTCTTGTACTCGTTAACGACTTCATGCGCTACACCACAGTGTTTCCACTAGAGCGGAAGGCCGACGTGCCTGACTTTCTTATCCCGTGGCTCGTTGCTGCGTGCCTCCATCGCGGTCTCCCTGTGCTGTGTCTCCACTCTGACCGTGGCGCCGAGTTCGCCTCTGGTCGGCTGGGTCAATTCTGTCGTGCGGAGGGTATCACCCAGACGTATACCCTTCTGGACTCCCCGCAGCAGAATGGGGTTGCTGAGCGACACATCGATTTAGTCATGGAGGTGGCTCGTACCTCCATGATCCATGCCGGCGCACCCCATTTTCTGTGGCCATTCGCAGTTCGCTTTGTCGCTCACCAGCTTAACCTCTGGCCTCGCTCTCAGCGGCCGCAGGTTTCGCCGACCCTTCTTTGGACCGGGTTCCCTGGTGACACGTCTGCGTTCCACCTCTAGGGCTGCTTCGCTCACGTTCGTGTCTCCGGCACGGACAAGCTCACTGCCCGCACCGTCCCCTGTGTCTTCCTCGGTTTCCCCCTTGACTTGTCTGACTTGAACTTTTACCACCCGCCGTCTCACCGCTTCCTTCACTCCCGTGACGTCACTTTCGACGAGTCTGTCTCCTTTTTCTACCGCTTTCCTCACCGAGGGGGGGGAACCGGGAGGAACCGAGTCTGTCTCCGGTTCCCCACCCCCTGTTTTTGGTTCTCACTCCCCCGGTCGCCCCTGCTCCCTTCCCTCCCCGTCCTGCTCCATCTCGTGTGTCTCACGTCACTCCCCTACCGTCGGTTATCCCGGTCGAGGAGTTGGCTAGCTCTGTTGGCCCCGCGGCGCAGTTTGCGCCGCCTGTCCCTCCCCCGGTGTCTCCTCCTCCCTCGTCGCAGCCGCAGCCGTCGCCGCAGCCGCAGCCGTTCGTGGACTCTGGGGGTGCTCGAGTTGGAGAGGGTGCTAGTCCTGGGGCTCCTGACGTGGCTTGTCTCGGCGGTGGCACCGACACTGGAGACATTTCTCGTTCTGGGGTTGCTGGCGTGGAGTGTACCGCAGGTAGCAGTAGTGCCGCTGGTGGTTCAGGTGTCGACGTTGAGCAGCAGCAGTAGCAGTCACCGCCGGTGTCCTCCCTTCGCCTGCTCAGCCTTCCCTCCCCTAACCGCTCGCCTGCTGTTACAGGATCGAATGTGTCGAGGAAAGGTTGCACTATCGATTGATACAAGGCGCTTTTATACTTTCAAAGTACATCAGGTAACCAGGTTTATCTTATCCCAAGGGAATAGACCCTTCTAGAAAATAGAATCACCCTACGCATTGCCACGCGAGGCTATTGGCTTTAAGGAATTACGGCATGATTACGCTAGATATAGCGCACCAATACATCCCGAGCCTGGTCGGTGATATAATGATAATAACAGAATAGACCAAAGGTTTA